TTTTGAATTGGAAACTGCTCAGTGTCCTTTTGTGATTTGTTGATATATTATGTATTTCATTTCGCAAACATAAGATTTTGAACTGGACTACAGTTCTTTTTGAACTGGAAAGCATATGAAATATTTGAGCTTCTTTTTCTAATCTACTATCGTTCAATCTCCTTTAGCATGTTAGTGCATTTTATGGTTCAATATGAATACGACGGTTTATTTGATGTCGTTACTTTACGTGCTTGTTTCTGAGAAAAATTTCACAGAAATGCCCACAATCAAAATAATAAAAACTACTAACATTCATACTTTGTCTTTCAAAAACATAGACATTGTTGTTGTTACTGAAGTTAGTGGTAGTCGATTTTTCCTTGTAAAATTATTAGCTTGCGAAAATGTACTTTCGCTAGCTACACTTGCAGCTGGTGTTGCAGTATATTAAGCAGTATATCAAGATCTTAAGAAGTAACGAACTAAATTCGATCAGCAAAGTCTACCACCTAATCTGAGAGTCTCTTTGAGCATATCTCATTCCAACGCTCACTCTTTCAAAATCTTATGTTTGCGAAATGAAATACATAATATATCAACAAATTACAAAAGGACACTGAGTAGTTTCCAATTCAAAAAGAACTGTAGTTCCCATTCGCGAAACCAGAACTGGTGAACCGTTCCAAGTTTCTAGAAACGTGAACTGCTGAACCGTTCCTCGGTTTTAGACACGTCAACTGCTGAACCGTTCCTAGTTCAGAACGGAAACTGAAAAACCGTTCCCGTTTATTGAACGGCAACTGAAAAGCAGTTCCCGTTCAAAGAACGAGAACCGCCTGCTGTCACAGACCTAGTGTGGACTACTCCAGATCAAACTACTCCTAAATGCAATAAATGCTTGATTTTGATATTTTGACTTTAGAAAAAGACTCTCGAAGGGTTTTTTACGCGTTTCGCTAAGAAAATGCAATGTTTGTAAAGAAAAAAGCAAGAATTTATTACTCTAGTCTGCACTGCTATAGTCCACATTACTGCAGTTTGGACTAGTCCAGTTTGCACTAGAACATTTTGGACTAATGAACTTTGCACTATAACCTTGATTTCATCGCAGCCGTTTCATGTAACGTGTGACGAAAGTGCCGATCTGTCTAAAAGACCAGTCACTTTCGTTGCATAACGGGTTAACTTTCGTAACCACTATTCAAACATGGTTAAACTTTCGTCACATGCCGAGAAAATTTTTATCACTGAAAACAGAACTTTCGTCACATGACGAAAGTTCAGCATTACCCGATGACGAAAGTGCTGTGAAACTATTTTTCAATTTTCAAAATGTTTTAAGAAAAATTTTACTTTGTACTCTGTCGATTTCAATAATAGAAAATAAAAACCATTTTTTTTTCTTAAGCTTTTATAAATCATGTGAATAACAATGATATCCAGCAATATCCGACATATCAACGTTTATCATCATCAACAGATTTAATAATGAATCATTTTAATTCATTAGAATTATCTTCAAAATTATACTCGGATAAGATAATTACCGTTGTCTATTGTCAAACAATATTTAATAATGATATAAATTATTGGAATGAACTTATTAATATTCTAAATAAGAAAAACTTAATAATAAAATCTGTTTTACTCGGTTTAGGATGTGCAAAATCCATTGAACAAATAAATAATTATTTAGATCAATATTGTTTACAACCGTCTTCATCGACAATTGCTGCATGGACATGTTTAAAAATAATTATGAATACACCCAATGGACTTGATATTGCTATTGAACGATTTAAAAAATTATGGCCAATATTAGAAAAACAAGTAGATTTAAATTATGAATTGATAGAATTTTTTTTACAGATCAATTTAAAAGAACATAAAAATAATATTCGATATTGGTTAAATAATAGTAGTACAAATAACAATGAAATAATACCGTATAAATACAAAAATTTAATTTTAGATATATTGATATGGAATGATTTGTGGTCAGAAAAAAATTTAGACGAATTAAATCGTTGGTTTGACGAAGAAATACAACGTAATTAATTGAATTATGATATGATGATCCTTTTAAAATATCAACTGATAAGTGTGTAACAAAAAATGGACAAACTATCCATATATACATATAATAGTATCATTCATATTGGAAAAGAATTTTCGTTTTCTTTCAGAACTAAATAGTCTAAATTAATATTGAATTTATTTCTTTTTCTTTTTAAGAAGATTAATATGTGTCTTATTTGTGAAAGTGAATGAGATATCGTAACAGTACGATTTGATTGAGTATTTTCATTTTTTAACTTTTATTTACTATATTTTGCCGAATTTCATGTTGGATTAAGATGAAATTAGTTTTCTTTTTCAAATACATAGTTGAAGTAGTTTAATCTCTAAAAGTTTGAACTTGATCAGTTGCACATATCAGAAACTATAGTAAAAATACAGATCGTAAAGAAATTTAAAAAAACTAGTCTTTTTTTCTTTCTCAGGACTTCTCAGATATTGAATATTTCTCTTAACTAAAAAACATTTAGAGAATTTTTTCATGAGAAAAGTGTGAACAATTTTCTGGACTCCGAAAATCTCAATTTCTTTTTTTGTTGAGTTTTAGAAAGATAGAAATTAGTGAAAAAATGTTTCAATGATGAAATTTCATTTTTCTTTCTTTCAAGTTAGGAGATTTTCTCTATTTTTCTCTATTTAAAGCTTACAGTAGGTTTTAATTAATTTCATCTTTGTTAAACTCAACTGTTACCTGTTATAAAACAAAGTAATCCATGACCATTTTTAGATACATTGGTTTTTTATATGAACGGTTAGTCCAAAGTATCTATTAAGTGAAACAGTCATTTTTACATAGTTTATTTATGATGTTAAATTTCCTTGGAGTCCCACGACTGATAGAACTTCAAATGCGAATGGATTATGAATCGACTATCCTAAGTCTCGTGGGAATGTAACAGTTCAATTAGGGAAAAATAATTTTTGGACTTATCATCTTGTTGACCTTTTTCTCTTTTTCAATTTCTTCAATATATTCCAACTCGAACACACTTTATACGGGAAATACAACTATTTATCTTTTTTCGTTACAGTTGAGCGATGAGAGAAGAAAGAGCGAAGAGGAAATAGAGAAGGTTCTTTAAAGATGAAGTTTTTCTTTACAAAGAGGTCAAAATTTTCCTAATGTAAAGGACGAAAGAAGTAGTTTTATTTGTTATTAACATTAAGCGGGACTTGCATGAGTAGCATCAATTCTGTCATAACGGTATCACAAATGTATAAAATTTGATCTTGAATAAGTTTTTCTTATTTCAGACAATAATCTAGGAATTGCTTCTACTTAGCAGAGTTATATCGACACATATTATAAGTTTTTGCAGGGATTTTTGTTTAGTTATGTTTTTTGCGAAATGTGCACCGATCGCGAGAACTACACAACATAGAAAAGTTCTGAAAACACAAAATCATTTTATGAACACCGAAGATTGGCCTTGAGTGTTCTTTTCCAAAAATTTGCTTTGAATGTGGCGTCACAGGATTCAACAAACAGAGAATAACAGCGAAAGTGACGTAGTAGAAATCTACTGACTACGGAGCGCTTCTGGCATGCTCAGTTGAAGGCGAGTTTGTCGACTTAGCAAATTGTGCGCAGTACAATTGCAGTCTGGTTCGTTTTATAAACAAGAAATAAACATCTCCATTTTCTTCTTGTTTTAAAAAATCGATATCATGACGTATAGTAGGTGTTCTCTCAGTTCGTCCCATCAACAATTCTCTCTCAGTTCGTTGCAGATATCTATGCTCGCGCCTCAGAATAAATAAGGTGTTGTACCATCGAACAGTTTAGACAGCGACGGTAAATATTGTAGACAATACTACATGTGCGTACATGACAAAATGTGCCGTGTTAGACACTGCTATCACACAAATTTAAATCTAAATAAGTTAAACTGTCTTGTTTCATCAAAATGTTAATTTTCACGTCTACTGAAAAAGACAAACCAGTTTTGAATCATAATGGGTATGAATACACCAAAAAACGAGCAAACAAAACAAATAATCAATGATGGTGTCGTGATCAAACATGTTCAAGTGCAATATCATTATGTACAGAGGATGTGAAAATTTTACGGAATAAATCAGCACACATATGCAAACCAGATACCGCCAAAGTCCTCGTTGACATTGCTGTTATTTATTATATATACATATTTATCGTCGTACGCAACAGGTACGGACAATTATACTAAAGCTAATTCAGTGTAAACTAATATGGGACGAATTGAGTATACAGTACTAGCTTTGTTATTATTATTACCTATTCGTCTAGGAATGTACTATGTAGACAGCTTTGAGAATATATCTGCCGAAGAAGCAGAGATTTATTATAAATTTATGTATGGATACAACTTGATCCGCTTGTAATTATTAATGACATATAAGACCGTTTCAATCAGCATTAATATAACTTCCGAGTTCACGATGACCTTCTCACATCATTTTCTATTCTAATGTTGGTTTAAGCTTTAATCTTGAACCAGAACGAAATCGAGAATATAAATTCCCATTATATCATTCTGAAACTTAAACTATCAAAACACAAAATCAATCCTTGCACGAAGCTAGGATCGAACACACGAACTTGATCTTTGCAGACGAACTGCAATTCTAATGTTAGTGGTCACGATGTGATAGCCATTGGAGGCGTATCAACTTGTGTGTTAAATACAGAAAGTGGATGGATTATTAGTGTGATAACAAGATCTATCTGTAGTAAAGAGCGTCTGTTAATATTATAGTAATAAATTGATTCTGTAACGGTTTGAGTAATAGAAAGATAGTTGATTAATTTTATATCCCTTGGCGTGCAAGAATCTATTAGTGTCTCCTGTTTTTTGTCAGGTATGTTATAGATACACATTTACCGATATTATAAAAGTAGAGTAAAATTACAGCAATATATTTCATTTGAAGAACCATAAACTAAGACAGAATATCTGGAATAGTTTTCCTTTTTCACACTTAAAAAAACTTGAAAATTAGGATCAATAGACTCAGTGTAATGCATATCTTGTTAAGTTTATTTCATGCAGAATAATATATCTTCTAGCCGATATACTTTCTGTCTTTAAAGTATGAAAAGATATATACATAGAGATCCAGGAAAGAATCGAGAACCATTATTACTGGAAAATAAATATTTCAATATTATACCATCAAACTTATGCTTTGAAATCAGACTTGGTTTCACATTAGTACGTTATACATCTATTAATTCTGTTTGAGAACTCCTGACACACAATACATCGGTGATTATGTAACGCCTTTCAATAAACGGCAGTGAAGTTTTCCGATCGATAAACTGACTTTTAGTTATAACTTAAATACTAACTATAAGTGTGGAATAACGAATCATAGAATTCTAATTTAATTGTTAACAACGCTCAGAAAATCATTTATAATTTACAGTCTTATATTAAAAAAAAGAAGAAAAAACTATTCGATGACACACAAAAAAAAAAAAAAATCTTTAACAAGTCAACTGAGAATTATTTCATTTTATTCATTTCAATAAGCAATTTCTTTCTTTCTCTCACGTTACGGAAATCTTCGTGAGTAACATTCGGATGCTTAATTACGATGGTGTCGCTAAAATATATCTGATTAGATTTAAGAAATATTTTTTTCTATTTTTCACCTTTTTTCCTATTTTTGATCTTTTCATCTCGAGAAAGTTATGTCAAATATAAAATAATAGTAATAAATGTAGAGCACTACACAATTCTTTACTTTCTCCTTCTTCTTTTTTTTTCGCTCTTTTACTTTATTATTCTCTTTCTCTCTCTACCGCAGAAAGCTTGTTTGAAAAACTTCATAAGACTATTATTTGTTGACAAGGACAATGTACACAACAATAGAGTTCTTGCGGATGAATATAATTGAAACTTCTTTTCCTCTTTTTTATTTTCCTTTGCTCTATCTCTCTTTATTGACTTGATACTCTCAAAATAAAATAGAAAACATCACTTTTCTTTTATTACTTGGTTTAAAGTATGGGCAACACTAGATTTTGACAAAGGTAATGAATTTTTTGTTTTTGATGGATATTTATGATTTACGTATAGAAATGAATCAAATACTTTACATTTTCATCATAGTTCACTGTTATCAAATGAAATTTCTAGAAAATTTAGATCTCGCTTTTTCTCTCTGTTTGCTATCATAAAAACACATACTTTTAGTTGACTATCACATAATAGACTTAGTCAATTTGAAAAGTAGAAATCGCTTTTCAGTATTTGAGTTAAAATAGTAGATAAGAAATACAATTTACACTACATGAAAGAAAACTTTCATGCTATTTTTAACAAACTTGAAAAAAATAAAAAGTTTTGTTAAAAAATTGATCTGATTTCTTTCAGCTACAATGTCGTGTTTTATATATTGTCTTTTTTTGTTAATTGCATCCTTTTTTGATATGAAACATTTTTTAAAGTAATACAACACGTATTCATTTGCATTCGGTATATTCTATCTTATTTTGTTCTATCCTCAAGGAAGTTTTTGTCATTCTAATCACAGTTTTGATGTACTTGATACTTCCTTTCTTCGATAGAGCACAATGATAGTTGTTATCAATAAGAACACACACATTCATAGAAAAAATAATTATTTGTCTCAGGAAAAAAATATACCATGCCGAGTATATTTTAATCTAGACTTTCGATAATGCTGAATTGAAACTCCATGCCAAATGCACAATAACAATTTTTACAGTCTCTTTAAAAGCACCAGTTTGATTAATCTTCAACATAAAAAAAAAAATAGAAGATGAGAAAAGATTGTTTTTTTATAATTCGAAAAAGAAAAATGTTTTTCTCTCTATTCTGGGTATCATCCATTTCTTTGTTCTACAAAACAATTAAAATTCTCGAACAATCGTCTCTTCTTTGTCTTTTTCATTATCTCGTTTCTTTTCATTTTAACACATACACACGCACACGATAAATGCGTTCGTTTGAAATACTTCACATAAATTTACTCTCATCCTAGGCATCTAAACGTTCGCTTCTAGTCTGATGATACAATATATTACGACAACGAGAGACAGAGAGAAAACGGTTTTTGTTTTAGTATTATTATAAAACTAACAAAAAAAATAAACCGGACAATCAAAATATAAAACAAAAAAAATGTTCTGTTTTTAAATCTAATATTGTTAACGCTTGGTTACTTTAATCAGCTATTCTATATAAATATATGTTATATGAAGTCAAAGAGGAAAATTAAACTATGAACAATAAAATGAATAGTACTAGTTGCAACGTATTAGATTCAAAAACTAATTTATGTTCTCTATCGTCTTTTTACATCTAATTATACAAACAATTCGTTGTATATGATTTCTGTTAATGCTCTTGCCATACAATACTTCTTATGTCTAATGAACTTTTACAAGGGTGTCATATGTATTGTATATTCATAACTTAAAAGTAGCATTCACCATAGCGGTAATATTCACGATATGGTTAACGAAGAAAGGTTATGATTGATGATTCGTTTTTCTCTTTAATATGAACATTCTCATATAGATTATTGTTAACGCATATGGTACATATGTGTGTGTGTGTGTATGTAGTATGTAAAATTATTAGATATCTCAATAAAGCTATAGAATATGATCAGTTTGTTGTAGATTCTGTCAGCACTATGGTATATATATATATTTGTTAGTGCATGTTTAGAAAAAGAGCACACAAAGCCAATTTATTAATGATACGATAAAAATAAATCTTATTTTTCTTCATATTCTCTCGGATGTATGATGATGCTCTCAATTACATCACGAACAACAGATGAGTTACACTGTAAAACAGAGTTAATTTATACTCTATAAGTATACACTTTTTCGTTTTCTCTCTTTCTCTCTTTCTCTCTCTCTTTCCCTTTTTTTCTCTAACAAATGTCATTTATACATATACATAGAATATTAGCAAATATATTATATAATATTGTCTTAACGATCGAAGCTAATAATTGAACGAGATACAATGTTCCATGTATTGAGTCTCATTTCTAGATGATGTAGATATTTATCAATGGTAAGAAATTATCATGGTGGTCAATGTGATGGGAATAGAACTATTCGTTGGGATCAGTTTTGTGATGGAATTTATGATTGTTTAAATAAATATGATGAAGAAGGACCATTTTGCAGTAAGTTCAATTTAAAAAAAAAGATGATTAGATTCGATTGAAAAAGTAAAACTAAATTTTATAAATTTCTCCGTTCGCTGACAGAAGTAAAAAAGAAGACATACAAGATTAAGAACACAGTTATAAATGATGTAAAAATGACTTTTATTTTAGGACAATGTGTTAACAATTTATATTCATGTCCGCCTGAAGATGATATTCGATGTGATTTAGCATGCAAAGTAAAAGATTAATTCATAATATTCTAAGATAGACTTTGATACGAAACTCGAAATCTAATTTAGGTTGTTGGTTACATACCATGTCAATCTATACAAAATCGTCGAGTATGTTCAAGTATTTTACAAGGATGTAAGTTAAACGGTTCACAGGTTATCTTCGATACTAAATTTGATATATTTCAGATGATAATCATCACTCAAACTTCACGCCTTATTTATTGCTCAAAGACTTTAATTTCTATGTGGGTAAGTATTTTTCTCTTTCATATTTTATACAATATCTTCATATAATCATTCTCTATATTATAGCTGTTGGAATTGCCACTATTGTTTTTCTAATTATTATTATTGCTACAACGTGGTTTATAAGATATCTTATTCGGACAAATAAAAATATCAGACCTTGTTTTTTAAACTTTTCTAAAGTTAGTAATCATTTTTTATAGTGTAATGAACATCTAATTATTATATTTTAATATTTATTCTAGAACTCTTCAAATACAACAACATCTCAATACATATCAGATTGTCAACAAAATTTTTCATCGAATCAAGATGAATCTAGTCATTCATACGAACAATCCTATGAACCTCCACCATACTATACTGCTCATAAATATCCGGAAACTGAAATTCGCCTAGAAAATCAATCACCACAACAGAAAATATATCGTACCGTCCGAGAAATCTATGAACATTCATTGTGAAATAATGTTTTTGTTTATTGTCAAACACTTTTTTCTAACTATTATTCTTTTATAATTTACGTGTTACTATAATCAGTTTCTTCATTTGAAAAAGTAGAATATCTTGTTCGATTCATGTCTCATTGATTTATAAGAGTTTCTTCCGATAAACTTGAAATCCAAAACAAAACGAAAAGATTACAAGAGAAAATCACTGATTAATTCCCACACTCAGGCTACTGTCTTTATTCGGAGAGAATATTCATAGTCGTTTAGTAACAAAATAATTCGTTAATGATACATAAAAATGACGTTCGATAAGTAACAACTTAGCGTCCAAATTATCTAAAAATTATCAAGTAAAGAAAGTGATGTTTAATGTAATCTGAATATTTCTCTCAAGTGTATTGTGATTTTATCAATAAAAAAAATTTATATAAAGAGAAAAAGAATGGAGAGATATTTAAAAAAAAGATACAAACAATAACAAAAAGTACCTAAACGATGTGATTCTCATCTGTTGCTGTAAAAATTCGAACCGAATGAATTGATGGTAGTTCGTCAGCTAATGCCTGAAAAGAAAAAGAGACATGAAGATATATATTGAGTAACTATCTAAAATAAATTGTACTTCTGAAACTTGTCGATGTTGATTAATTGTTTTCATATTTTTAAATTTAGATGAAATAATATTGATTTCATAACTAGCACCACAACCACCTAGAAAATAAAAGAGAGACGACCTTTTGTTCGTATATTCTTTGCCATTTTTATTTCCATTCTCACCTGAAACATCACTAACAGAAATTTTTGTTGCTTCTGGAAATCGTTTTTCCAAAATTTTTATTAATTTTTTCTCGCCAGCATTTAAATTAGCATCATTTACTGTAATATATCGCTTTTGAACAAGAATATTCTTAAAAATATAAAATCAAATTAGAAAATGATTCATCGTTCTATACAAATATTTTGAAATGAGATCGCACCATAAAAAGCTTACTTGTTGACGGATATAATGTTACTAAATGTCTATTTATGTAATTCATTGCAAATAACATGAGAAATACACTTTGAAATATGAAAACAAATCTAAAACAATACATAAACTCGTTAGTATTTACTACAAAAAAAAACCAAAGTCATTTATATTATTTAAAATGTGAAGCGAGATTCAAAGTGTTCTATGACCTAATAAGAAAATATTCGTAATTATCCGCTCTTATAAAAATTGAATTGAACACAGATGTCTACATAAAATTACATTTTATTAACTTCTTTTTTAGTGTCTTGAAATAGACAATTAGATAAAAAAAAGCACAATATTTATGCATAAATAAATAAAATATCCGTGTATGAACAGAATAAACGAACAAGCACAAAACAAATCTAATGTCTTTCTTGCCGGGAGTTGTTGGTTGCTTTTTTTTTCGACGAGAAAATGCGTAGTCTTGTAATACGAAAAATAAATAAACAACCAAATATTCCATCATAATTAAAAATACAAATCTGTTTTTACAATAACCAGAAAGGAGAGCAACAAAAGAAAACAAAAAATACTTCGAAATAGCGTGAAGATGAAGAAGAAAAAAATAGTGAAAGTATATTTTTTTTGACGCTGTACATCTTTTTCCACGTTTTTACAATAAAATAAAATAAAATTGCTGCTTTTATTTTTTTCTCATGCTAAATATATGCTCTCTCTCTCTCGCGCGCGCGCGTACGCACGCATCGGTGAGACAAACAGCAATTGTTTACCATTCGTTGTTGCAGTTTTAATCATTGAGAGGTTAACTCGTTTACAACAAATTCGATAGAAAAATAAGAATATTTTAAAGTTTTGTTATTTGCATCGTTTGATTAGTTATTTTCTCATTGTTATTAATGATCATTTGATTATTATTGTTCATTAATTGTTGCATTTTAATTAATAATTTTGAATATCTCAGATCTGTGCACAAATTTTCTATACGTTCATTTTCATTTTTAATATTACGTTTTATTGCTTCAATTTTTGTCTAAAATTCAAAAATGAAATACGGTCAATATTGACTAATATCGTTAATTAAAAAAACGAAAAATACTGTTTCATTAACAACATAAACACAGTACATCGATTCCTCTACTATCAGGATCAAAACAATATACGATTTGTTCCAATAATCTATCTTTTAACAATAGCTGAAGTATTTACTATAGCACGATGCAGCAAACTGCATATTAATAAGATAAGATAGCACAATATGATCCTTTTTTTTAAAACTTAATCTTTCTTCTCATGAGACAATTAACTGCAAATGTTAGCAGTAGCATAATTCTTATTTTCTAAAAATTTTCCAAAAAAAAGGGTGGAATACATTGAAAATTTAAACATTTTATCCTAGTTTAGAACAAATATAGAAACGGAATGTTCGACTTTATGCAGAAACAAAAATCTACTTGAGTTTTAAAAAAATGTACCATATTGTAACGTAATTTACCGTGAACTGAACCCAAGAATTCTGACACATTTCAAAAATTCTATACAATTCTATACGGTCCTTTTACAAAATAATTTTTTTTTTAATTCAGAAAAAAATTATTCTAGAATTCTAATTAGTTTCATATTAGAGAAAAAATTCTCAGTTAAAAATATAACACATTCTTATTTTAAAGATTTTGATAATTTTTTTGATTTTGCATAGTAAAACTATGGGTCTTAATGGTCAGTAAAACACAAATGCATACCTATTCCACTCATCTTATGCTACATACTAAACATCAATAGACAAAAAACAGTTCATACTTCTAATTGATTATTTTGTTTAATGGTATTTAACAATTCTTGTAAAATTGAAATTCTTTGATCTGGCGATGTGTAAGAGAAGTTTTGAGCCAGTGTGTCATCTTTCAGTTTTGTGGGTGATGTTATTTCATTATTACTCGATGGTAAACTATGAGGTAATGGTAATGACAATTTCATGGTTCCATTGTTTAATGGTCTTGGTAGTATCGATTGCTTTGATTGTGAAATTTCAGATGGACGTTGCGGAAGTGGTGGAGGTAATGCTGGAGTAGCATCGGTAAATGAAGATAGTTGTTGTTCAGGAGACGCGAGAAACTGTGATGATTGATGATGCATTTGTTCCAGTTTTTCCAATGTTTTTTTTTCATGCATAAATGCTTCATACAGTTTCTTTACTAAAAAAATTTCATCAAACGCTTGTTACTTATTCTGTGTCGATAACGACTTAGTTTGCTGCGAAATGTGCAAAAGAAGGAAAGTAACTTTTTGTTCACGCCAGAATAGTAGACATTAATAGTAGACATTAGAGATGTATCAGTTCTACGTGGGTACTTATAGAGATCAATATTATTCGCTATAAAGAACTTTTTGCCTAATTCAATTATTAAAATCCCATTAACAAATAGGGAGAGCGAAACTGACTTCTTGTACCAAAAGTGGGATAAAACGAGTTCTTTATAGCGAATAATGGTGATCTCTATAAGTATCCACCTGAAATTAATGGATTCCTAGTAGACATTAACTTAATGTTCCGTTGAAAAACGTATTTGCTTACGTTTAGCTACTAGACGATGTTCTAAAATTTTCTCTTTCAAATAATCAGACTGCATTGAATCTTCATCATTCTTTTCCATAATGGTCACCTTGTTTTTAAATAATGTTTTTATGAATATATCATCTTCATTACCACTTTCATCTGTTTCCAATTTACCATCATCTGATTTTCTTCTTTGTCCTAACTGTAACTTACTATCATTAGTAGTTACTGTCCTTGGACTGATGCTCGACTCAACTGTTTTGGGTGTTTCAATTGTATACTGTCGTACTCGTTCTGCTGTTGGTGTATTATCTCGTTTATTTTTATTCACAATAATAATAACTTGTTGAGAAGGAGATATTTGACCATCTTTGACTAATGCTAAAATAAAGAAAATTGATTTATATTTATTGAATAAAAGAATAAGTTGTCATACATTTTCGATGAGTAGGAGTGTTTGATGTGAATGTCAGCGGGGACATAGCATCGAAACTCAGTGCTGACGATTGTCGATTTGATATTGTTTGTTGCAAACGCCTCGTTTCTTGTTTGATCTAGAACAGAAGTAAAAAATATGAAGAAAAACGACTTATTTTCAACAACAAAAACTCATGCTTACTTTTCGTTTTATCGCTGTTACCATCCGTTGTTGCGCCCATAGTTGTTCTTCTTTCTCTTTGTCAACATTTGTGGGTGTTGTCGTACCGAATGTAGACGAAGTTGTTTGTTTTTGCATATCCTCATGCATCTTGTTTAATATGTTTTCTTGTTTTGTCAATTCATTTTCAAGCTCTCTAAATTAATAATATTTTTGTTCTGCTTATAGCGTTACTGATGTGTTATACTTACTCAATGGAGTCTGGCAACAACGATGAACGAGATACATTTTTCATTAGTGGTATTCTGAAAATAAAAACAGTCGACGTATTTATAGCAAAAATTGTAGCTTAGAAAACTCTCTTTAAACAAACCTTGGTACGGTTGTGATAGTTGAGATATTCTGTTTATCAAACACTTCGTTGACATTCTGAATTAGATATTTGACAACTCGTTCTTTTATTTTCAATACAGTTACCAATGAACTAATCACTGTTTGCGTTTGCATATTTGTATTAGTACCACCAGATGAAAGTAATACTGATGCCGAATACTAAAATTTAAAAAAAGAAATTACATCAAAATCTTGGCGTTAACAAACTCATTCTGAATAACATATTTCGAATTATTAAAAAAGAAGATTATCATACCGACGTAATAATTCGATGTAAATGATTGAATAATACATACAATGTATCACGATTACATTTGGGTATTTTTTGTAGAATAAGATGGACTTCATTTGCTTTTGTTGTGTCATAGGAATCGCTAGTTGCATTTGTAATTCCGCTACCTAAATGAAGAGAAATTATTTTTTGAGCAATTGTTATTCACTTAATAACAAACATGACATACCGCTATCGGTAATAATTTTAATTATTGTATTTATCTGTTCATGTGTTAAAATTGGTTCAGGCAGTTCTTTAAAAAAACGTTTCAATAAACTAGCAGCAAATTCAGCTGTCAATGGTTGTTTCAATGCATATTCTAAATCAGCTGCTTGCTTAATTTTAACAGCTTCATGACGATAAATATTTTCTTGTGAATGACCTGAAAGGTATGATTAGAAGTAAAAAAAGAAAAGTGTTTCTTTGTTCGATAAAAACATACCTTGATCAATAATTGCGATACACTCGATCAAAAATTTTGGGACAGCTAATTCACTGCTGTTAGCTAATGGATTACGTTTGACAGCCTCCTCAAGTGGACAACCCACAATGAGTCGTAGCTGTTCTAGCAATCCTAGAAAAACAATACAAAAACTCATATGAAAGTGAAAAATCATATATTATCTTTTATGCTCATATTACCAGTTGTACTGGCTTCACTTTCACGGAATGACTTCGTTTTTTTTCTCTTTTCTTCTTTTAAACCTACGAATAGTTAGAAAACAGCAACGTTTGACAAAACCAAAATAATAATAACTTAACGATTACAATTCCTTACTGGATCGTCTTTCTTTCGCTTCGTAATCAACTGACTTTTTCTCGTTCTTCGTTTTGATCAGTTTGAAACCATGTTTCTTTTTCCCTTTAAATATTCTAAAACAAAAATAGTAAATAAAACAAAACTTACTACACTTTATTTTACTTTTCCTTACTGAAAATCAGTTGTTATTGGTAATGTTCCGCTAGCGTCAGCTGACATCAACAGTGAAGAATAACCTTTATCAAGTTTCTCTTTTTTATAGAACGGTTTACGTTTATTACGCTCTCGCTCGTCCTCACCTAAAAAGAAAAAGAAATCGTAGTAAAACGTTAGCATACTAGGAAACAATGTTTTTACAGTCGATAATGTCTCGGTCTTCATTTGCTGTCGTCATCCCGTTCTGCTTGAATGATACAAATATGATTGATAGTCTAGAAGAGAAGAACTAAAAAAAGGTATTTTCTTGCATGACAGTGTGTTTCACAATCATGCACTTTAAACATGAAAATTTCGCTAAACGAGAACAGATTTATAATTTTTAGATTTGGTGTGTTCCTACTAGCACATATCAACATTAAATTCTCCAAAACCAACTTTCGAACGTTTGTGACATTATGATTCCAACAGGTTATTTAGTCCTATTAATACTAGGGCAGAATCTGAACCAGAATAGCTTGTGGTTAGAAGTTACCTACCAATGGCAGCTGCCGATGATATTATTTTTTTCTTCCCTTTTTCTCTTTTCGTTGAATAAAAATTTAGCCACTGTCTAGAGTAAATATGTCTAATTCCAATGGAAATTTAATCTCTTTACTTTTATCACTTATTGTAACAGAATTTCCCTGAAAACCATTAGATATTTTTCTGACATGTCTGAATAGAAGAAAGTGTGCTGAATCTAATGTGAAAAAAACAATTAATTATGTGTAAAAATGACTGAGCAATCACCTGTAGTTAGCTGCTATTGACAGCTGTTATTAGCAGGTAACTTCTAATTAGTACGAGAAAAGCCAACAAAGAAATTTGATTTTTTCTGTCATTGGAATGTAAAAAGAATATTAGAAAGAAAAGGCAAAAAGAATGCCATTTTTCATTTCTATAAAAGAATTCAAAGATCACTTATGGTCGATGTTCAAAATTTATTATAGAATAATAGCCAGTGAGAAACAAGCATTGTAACTTCAGGCGATTGCTGCTAAGCATTGCATTACCAACTAACTAAAACGCAGCAACATGAAAATGTCGTTTTTTTAAAAGTCGCATTCAATTACATGAAAAGTGATGAAGAAAGCTTCTTTAAAACAAACTACATTATTATTACTTGCCTCTGCCGTTCACTGGATAGTTAGAAATATTAAATAGGTAATTTCAGGATTCATTGGATGCAAAGTAAGTGCTAAAAACCCTCAATTTAGCAGCACGGAGCCTGAAGATTTGAGACTAATAGTTTTAGGAAGCTCGATTCTAGCTGGCCCATTATTAGTTTCTATTTTTTTTTCTATATTCCATTTCTGTTTTGTTCCTCCGTCCGTCAGCTCTCTATGTTGTAGTTAAATGGAGGAAACTAGAACGTTCTTAATAAAATCCTTTTTTGCTAAGAAAGTTTCTGATTTTTTAACTGCTTGTAATTGATTTGTTTGTACTAAAAAACAGAGAAGAATGCTTAAAGGTCTGTACTTTCCAGGTTTTTTTATCGAACTTTGAAATTGGTTTCTTCACTTTTCATTGCGTGTGCTGAGTGAAAGATAAGAGATGTAATGTTCGACTGTATTGCTGTTTCTTTCACAGCTTTTCTTACCATGTGTGAAAAGTATACGTGTATTTGTTTGTCACCAATTGGAAATTTGAAAATATTGTATTGCTTAAACGGTTTACACTCCATCCAACAAGTTGAAAATATTAACGATGAATCGTTCCAACCAAACAGAAGGTTTGAGTTCGATAATTCTGGACTAAGGGCAGTGTTTTTTGAACTCTTCATTTATATTTCAGTCAGATGGTTACGATCGAATCAAATGATAAAAATGATTCAGTTATAGTTGATAGTTGTATTTCATGGCTTCAAGCTTATTTTCATGATCCAGATAAACTTTCTTTGATTGATCAACCAAAATTGTGTAAATTTATCATTGATGAAAACGCGTTTCAACATCGAGTATGGTTAAAATTATATGAAAACGTTAAGTATGGAAATACTATATCTTATGGTGGTTTGGCACAGTTAGTCGGTAGTCCAAATGCAGCGAGAGCTGTCGGCACGGCTATGAAATGCAATCCATTCCAGTTACTTGTACCATGTCATCGTGTTATACAAGGCAATGGAAATACTGGAAGATATTCAGGTGGTAAACGAAATACTGTTAAAATGTGGCTGTTGAAACATGAGAAAACAAACATTTAATCAAATGTTTTTTGTAAATACCATGGTGTTGTACATTTTTTTGAAGCTTCATCTTATTTGTTGTTTATTTTACTAATCAGGAAAACATTGCGAAGAACAGACTTATCAGTATTCTTTGTGTTGGCTTTACGAAATTCTATTCAGTAGAAATACTTTTGCACGTAAAACGAATGCCATAGTTTAATATATATTTTTTTAATTATTTTCAGATCAGTCTAAAACTCTTAGCCCATCCCAGTTAACAACATAAAAAAGCAATGGCTGCTCGTGGTTCAGCACGTAATTCACGCTTAAATAAGAGAAGAAAAACGGTTAAACTACGTGGCAATGTATCACATGGTCATGGTCGAGTTGGAAAACATCGAAAACATCCTGGTGGTCGTGGTAACGCTGGTGGCCTTCATCATCATCGAACATTATTCGATAAATTTCATCCAGGTTATTTTGGAAAAGTGGGTCAGAGAGAATTTCATATGTTAAAAAATCGTAGTTGGTGCCCAACAGTTAATCTTGATCGTTTATGGTCGCTTGTCACAAAACGTACACATGAAAAATATGAAGCAAATGAGACAGGATTAGCACCAGTTATCAACGTTTTAAGAGCTGGTTATTTTAAAGTATTGGGAAAAGGTGTTTTACCCAAACAACCACTGATTGTTAAGGCGAAATTATTTTCAAAACGTGCCGAAGAAAAAATTAAAGCTGCTGGTGGCGCTTGTATACTTTTACCGTAAAAGAAGAAATAAATTAAAATTATTACCATCAATAAAATTGTTCATGTTGTTTTTTTTCTTGTGTTCTCTTATCTATCACAGTGTAAAAAGAGAAAAAAAAAGATCCATTTGTTTTGATACATGAATAAACAATGTTAAATGTTTTGTACAAGAAAACAAAAAACTGCAGCCTAGATTTGAATTAATATGTTATAAAATGCTTTAAAATCTGCCTTTTCTTTACACTTCTCGATAGTCAAAAGAAAAAGAATGTCCAATTCCTGAACTTTTTTGTTGTTAGACGTTTGCCTAAAGTATTTGATTTGAAGAATTGACTGATATTATTTATTGATTTACAATAAGCAGCTTAGGATTAACGATGCAGATCAAACAGTAGTGTCAAGTAAAAGATGATTATAACACTTTTTAGCCATTTAAATTAGCAAGTGCGTATAGCTTTAATTTATGGGTCAGGAAATGATCTGCTTACAATTCCAGGTGACTGACTAGTTTTGCTTAAATGTATGAATATAGTTTTCTAGTGGGTAAAACTTCTGATGAAAAATATATTATTTTCGTCTATTTATCAAAATTTTTAGCTGTATAAAAGTAAGTATGTTCTCAACTTTCTATAGTCGCAGTTTTGGGTCACTCTCAAATGTAACTGTGTAAGTTGTCATTGGTTTTGATGAGAGTATCGCTGATCCACTGTGTTGGTTTAAAAAGTATAAGCTAGTATCTGTTTTTTTCTGAATAGAATGTCATCAATTACTTGTAGTTCACAGAAAAACGCACCGTTCATTGCGGTTCTATATGAAACCGTCAATTAACCACAATAAACTAACGATTTTTTGGGTAACTCACAATTCAAGTAATTGACGTTTGAAACAACGTAGTTCTTTATTCGGTGTTTGTTTACCGTTCCGATTAGATAAAAGAGCGACAAAAAAACTGAAGTTTTTTCGCGATTATTGATGGTTCGTTACTCGTTGTTTTTAGCGTGTTGATACTTAACTGACTATGGCACATTGTTATTGTTTTTGTAATTAATTCGTTATTGATTTATTGAACAGACATTAGTTTGAATAATAGACCACAGTATACTCTTTAGTTTGATTACGTTCGAGATGCCAGGTTACATGTCCTTATATTGACGCTTTTGTTGTTATGTTGAAGCTATTCCAGAAGAAAATCCTTTTCTTACATGGATATTTCAAGAATAAAAGCATTTAGTTTATTCTTCTGTTCTTTTTAAATATGAACATAAAATACGACATAAAAATACAGAAAAACAAAACAAAAATATATTGATAAAATATTGATTGTGTTCTGTAGTTTGAAAAAAAAAAAACGTGTTTTATTTGTTGATAAAATTTTATTTATTCAGACCATGAGATAGAAGGCGAGTATCGTAAGCTGATGTTTTTTTAGTCTAATTTTCAGTGATACATCGACTTGCTTAAAAAAAAAACAGGTTCTGATTTATGATCTAAAAACTATTTTTCTATGACAGAGTTGTACTCAGCTTTGCGCTGCGTCTTACCCAAATTTGGTATCGTCTAGCGAAACAAGTACTCAGAGTTAAGTTCTTAACTGACAAAGAATGAAAAAGAAAATAAAAGCTTTGTTAATGCTTATTACGCTACAAGCACATGATAAGAGTTTAAAAAATATAATTCTTTTACAAAACACACAACAAATAAGTCATGGGTGAAATAGTCCACCGCTTCTATACGAAACATGCACACACACACACTATCTTAACTGGACTATTTTTATACGCCGTCCATAGCGTTTGTGATTTGTACAACAAAAAAAAAAACTAACAACCGGGGTCATATTAACAGCAATAATAAAGAAAAACTCACCTTATGCTGTAATATTTAAAAAAAAAATCATCAAGTAGCAAAACAAAAAGTGGACCAAAATATAAAAAATCGACAAGTATCATGTATGCAACTTAAAAGAAAATATTCTTTACATTCACCTCTAGTAATAATACAGCTCACTAATGAGAAGCACAATTTTTATGGAGATTAACTAAATACCGGGCATGTCGATATACACAACAAGTATGACTAATCTATTACTTAATTTTTCGTTTGTACATTTGGTAAATCTTCATTATGATCTACAACTGTTGCTTGTACCCTTGATGTATCTGAGGATAGTTTTTGACGTTTATGGGTACTTGGAAGATGTGAAGAAGAGGGTGATGAAGGCCTACTGGAAGATGATGAGAAAACTGATGCATTTGTATTCGGAAGAGAGTTTTCTTCTGACGATTTACGACGAACATTATGATTAATGGTTTCTGTTGATAATTCTGTTGTTGGAATTGGCTGAAAATCTGATGAGATACGGCTTGGTAAAAATGGTGTCCATCGATCAGTCTTATTTTTTATATATTTATTATAATTACCTGTACTGGTATTTTCATTACTATACTGGTTAATCAAATATTCTGTTGGCGTTTTTTTGCATGGAGACAAACGAGTTAGTGCTGTGTTTTTATCGTTAGCTGTTAACGACGGTGGTATCGGCAGCGGTGGTGAGATTGCCTTAACGGAAGTTAAAATCGATGGAAGATGATTTTGTTCCATAACAGCAATAATTAAATCGCCCTTTTCTAATAGACGACATTCAAGACCGCAAACGACACGAGTTTTATTCGGATTAATTGATGACCATGTTTGCTGGTACACAAAAAATGGCATTTCTTCTAAAACATCAGATACGATCTAAACAGAAAGAAAATATTTGTCAGGAAAACTAAACTTATCAATTATAAATCTATAATCAGCATCAGAAGCGTATTTTTAGCTCATTTTACTGGCTGAATAACATAATTACTTAAGTATGATTTTATTTGTTCAAGGAAAACAGCTAAAAGACTATAAAATTGTTTAATAAAGTCTTAAGATTTCGCTCAAACCTGCATAAAGTGTTATTTATCTCCAGTGAGGTATAAAGTTAAACTTCCAGATTCAACTTCCATCTGACCACCAAGATTCATCTTAGCTCAGGAGCCTGTTATGCTCTCATACAAAAAGTTCTTTATCACATGCGTTGAATTATATGTAAGTGAAATGTAGTCAGAAAATTCGTTAAGAGTAAACAACTATGGCTAGAAGTTGACAGAGTCCGATTTTTGAATTTCTGTTTTACTGATTTCTGGTGCTTAACAGAACTTTAAAGTCCGAAAAATCCTTGGAAGGTTTCTTAGAAATCCTCATTTCTATAAAAAATAGAAGCATAATTCAAAAATCGGACTCTGGCAACTCCTACCTATAGGTGTTATCTACAGATCGGCATTTCTGACCCGAGAGGGAGCCTTAATATTTTAAAATAAAATACTCAAGTACTCATGTAAGTATAACAAGAAATAGCACGAGCGCAAGAAGGAGTACTCATGGTTCTCTATATACGAGTGTGAGTAACATATCTCTGTGAAGAAAAAAATAAAGTTCATGCAGAGTCGGGGATAAGTGCTTTTTCGTATTTAGCTCACTCGATATGAACTTTATTTTTCTGTCGGTAATATGATATTCGTACTCTTCTCACTCTGTTCTTTACCATCTATTAGTGACATTTGGTGCGTTCTGATATTTACTTCTACGTGAAGATCAGAAGAATCTCTTCTCACTGTTCAATCTTATGTCTGCGCAAGATATAGTGATGATTGCTAATTAACTATTTTTATATTTTCCTCTTCCACAGTATAGCGATTTCAGTTTTTCATGGAAATTCTTAGATGCTATCTAAGATTTTAACTTAGCCGTTCTTGGTGATGAACAATAAGAGAGTCAAATGTGAACTGACCGTTTTTTGAAGTTCAGCAATGTCGAATATAATTTGTGCTTTTCCTGATTTGTTGTCAACAACTCCCACATCTTTCACACAGGCTAGAATACTAAAATGGAAAAGAAAAATTGATTAAAGATCTGCTGGATACTGTATATGTTAGATAATCTACCTTGAGTATTCATCACTATCATCGGCACTTTTAATAAAATCGTTTGTTGTTAATTCTTTTATTATTTTCATTTCCCCCGAGCCTAATTTAATGAAATTTTCTTCACGAAATTTTTTCAAGGTCAATGCTTTTTCATTTGCTGGTGTTGTTTGCAGACCGTCTAATAATGTGTGACCAGTACTATTTTGTTGTGGTGAACGCGATCGTTTCAATGAAAGTTGTCGTTCATCACTTTTCTGGCAAGTGTATGGTTCTCGGTGAGCGTTCTGCTGAGGAGAATGACATAATCCTGACGAATCAATTGTTGATGATGAAAACGTTCCGTTTGTGCTAATGCCTTGACGATGACGACCATTTGAGACGGTAGAATGATGGTGTTGCGGTGATGATGAGACATTTTTATCTGACGTATTACTACCTAATACTGATGTTGCATAAAGTTTATTTTTGCTGGATGAGGGATTACCTTGTCGATGAGACGATGTGTAAGGAAAAGTTGTTGAACTGTTACTGTTGTGTTCAAATGAAGATGTGACTGTTGCTGCTGCTGCTCTCAACTGATTTACATGTGCATCTTTATTTCCATACATATCTACGCATGAATTAGGATAGAGTCCAAAATGTGAGGATGTTGTGGGAAATGAAAAGCGTATTGGCACGTCAGACATCATCACTGGTGTACGAAAAATTGGATCAGTTGACTGTTGTTGTACGTAACGTTGATCGTAATAACTTGATGATATGTCAGTTGGCAGTGATGATAAATGAGATGACCACAATGGATGAGAACTCAATGAAAAGTAGATATTCGATGGCGCAGCGGTTTCGATTGTCATTGTTGAACTCGTTGTTGCGGTTGATGTCGTTGCACTGGCTTGGACGGATGATTGCCGCGAAGGGAAATACATATGGATAAATTATTTGAATAAAAAGATTTTTTGATTTTGCATGACCGTGTGCGTACATGCTAATGCCAAAATATTACTAAACAAAAACAGAGATGAAATTAAGTTTTTCTATTCACATACAAATGGAAATAACTGGAATATGTATGACATAGAAGCGCATGACATTTACAATTAAAAATTCAATTAATACCCCATTATTACAGTTTTTTTCTACACAATAACTATGATTCGAAATGTTTGACAGCACAACGAATCTGTTTCTCAGAACAAATTAATAGAAAAACCAAAATATTATAGAAAAAAAATAATAAGAACAATCACTCGACGATTGTCTCATGAAACGGAAATAATTGTACTTCGCTATCAGGTAATGGTGTTATTTTGTATTAGTAGGGGAAATGCATTGTTGAACAAACTATATTTCATAATGAATAGGAGAAAATAAATTTTTTAATAAATAGACTATAACAGAAAAAAGAACAGTATATATTAGTCATTTTGTACATCTATCCAACAGTGCCATTTTTTTAGTTGAAATAAAAACAAAGAGAAAAGAGAGTAGAAATAAGACATTCTTACATTCTGGAAAATATCATCTGTCTTATATCGTTTTGACGAGAGTTGTAACACTTTTTCTTCAGAACAAAAAAAATAGTACTTCTTTTATGCATAAAAATAGAAAAACTTTATGACTCTTACTATCGAACGTGCAAAAACGTAATACGAATTGCCTTTTATAATATGAAAATAAAATTAAAAATATATATACTTACGAGAAAACACATAATGAGGATTGTAAAAGCGGTCGTCTTATATTCAGTACATAATAGTTCCAAATTGGAAGTGCTTTTTTTCTACTATACTTTGCTTCATCATTATTCTTTTCATCTCTGAATAGTGAATAGAATGTATATTTAATTTTTGTATGCAAATACAACTAGAAATTTTTTTAGTTGTATTTTAACCATTCTACTCTGTTTTGAATTTGTTTTAATTGTTAAAATCAAGCGGAAAAATCAAAACAAAGTCTATAATTTTATCCAGTACAGTGTATTGGAATTGTCCAATTTGTTTTGCAAAAAAAAACAAAAAAAAGAAAAAATCAGGCTACACTTAAGATGCGTACATAATTAAAACAAAGAACATAACAGAATTTTAGAAGAATTTTAGGTAACTAGATATAGTTGCATTGAAAGTAAAAGTTTTAAGATAATCCTTATATTTTCTGTGAATATGAGTGCGATAATCATAAAAAAATAATAATTTTTTAATCATGCGTAGTTATTTTTATAAACTAAATATATAATATGTAAATACATTTAATAACGTTCTATTGTATTATTCTATGGATGAGACGTTCTATTCTTTTTTAATGTATGAATGAAAAATGATACACGGTGTGATAAAATATATGGTTAATTTGTACTCAAATTTTCTTGGGTACTATAAAAAAACATATAAACTAATTTACATTTAAGTAAGAAATTTCTTACTTAAATCTATTTTCTTCACTGCACCACCTCCAAATTTTACTAATTTACATGTTGATCTGTAGAGATGTTCAAGGCTTAACCAGTTTATAAGTATCATAGGGTAAAGTAAAACTATGATATAAAGTTGTTAGTTTAGGCAGGTTTGATGTAAAAAAACTTTTATTGTACAAATTACAGGGTATGAAACTATCTTATATTATACCCTCCCATCGACCTAATACTATGCCGTTTTTTTATTCACAATGTGTCTCGTCAGCTATTTCTAATTCGTCTTATTAAGATCATATTGTTAAAAATCATATCAAGTAAATGTTTTGGACTCATGACTATTCTCTTTTTTTTTAAACATGAGTACGATAAATATTTTTTCTATTACTCATTTGCGGATTGGCATACATCTTACAAAAGCTTTAGAGAATGAAATTTTCTATGAATGAAGTTACAATCATGTTTTTATTGATAAAATGGTTTCACTTGACTGAGCATATGAAATAATAATAAATATTAAGACAAGACGTATGGTTAATACTATGGCGTTTTCAACATATTTACAATATATGATGATGTTATAAGTAGAGTGACGCTACTGGAGAAACATCATGGTACAGTAAAACTTTAATTGACGAATACCTTTCTATTCTGAATATGAACACATTTTTTTTTGCGGTGGTCTCTCTTGTTATTATAACCTTTCTAATGTGAATGTATACACACGTGTATACGTGTAATATTTCTCTCTCTCTCTCTCATTGTTATCTATCATCTGTCTCGTATTTACTAAAACTGACTACACTTTATGTACTAGAACGGACTATTGTATGTATCAAAAAAAAAATGACATCACGACACGAGGTCTTTAAAAGAAAAAATTGAATTAATTAACGATAATAAAGATAGTAAAGATTTATCACAATGTAAATTAGCTAAAAAACAATATTTCACTTAGTTTTGTATCAAATATATTAAAACGTAAAACAGAATATTTAAATGATTATGAAACAAATTTGAATCAGAATCAAAATATTAAATGATTAAAAATAAATAAAACAATAGAAGCTTCCAACTTAATTCAGGACTAGCATAGAAGTGGACATTCTGGGAGTTTTTCTTAATTTCACAGCAAAACATGCATCATCACTCCACAGTGAACACATCCCTATAGTGAACGCTTTTGAAAAGTGTCGATGATGTTTACAATAGAGAAGTTTTACTGTAGTAGAAATAACAATTAAGTTCAAACTATCGCGTCATCAAATATCTCTTAAAACAACTCAATTTTACGAGTTTTAAAGTGTTATACATGATTTTCTATTTAAAGTACGTATAAAATAGACGATAAAATTTATAAATTTATAATTTAATTATAATTTTAAGAGTCATCTAAAGCGTAGAAATACATTGGAAGTTTTCAGCAGTTTCATCTAGTGCTTCGTTTCTCAACGTTTCATATTTAATTAGACATATGAAATCATTTTTTTAATAAAAATAGATTTTTACGACACAATGGTCAAAATCTGTAAACATCTATTAAAACATTTTTGCCATATTAATAAAACAACAACGAAACTAACCTTCGACTGTTTGGCATCTATTTTGCCAATGGATCATCCAAGTTTTCTTTTTAAAGAAAAAAGAAGAATACGAAGAAGAATTAGTCTATTTTCTATATACTCTCTATGCACTATCTACTCTATCTTTCTTTCTTTTTTATTCCGCTTCTATTTTTCTATATGGTTTTTTTTCGCTGAGCGTATATATGTGCGTGTGCGTATGTGTGTTTTTGTCTATCTATATATATCCCTTTTATTTTGTGTTTTTACACGTCTCATATAATTTATTAAATTTCTACACACCAACCGCGTATCTATAGAATATATTCTTTGTATTTTTTTTCCTCTTATTCTGCGTACGCAACGAACGAAATCTAATACAATCAGCTGCAAAACAGATGACGTAGAAGAGAAACTAAAACCTATAAATTATTGCTCAAGATTCCTTGATGTAAAAATAGAAAAAGATGAATTTTAATATTAAAATATGATTTCTTAATTCTATGATAATTAAATGTAATAATAGTAGTAGTCTCAAATTATATCAGCTAAAAAAATCTACCTCTAATTAGAAATACGTTTCGTGATTTTTTTCTTCTTAGCTATATATATATTATGTTTTTAAGGAATTAAATTGTCAGATAGATATTTCTTATTTCTTAATCGCTACACTGTTTTGTATAACAAGACAACAATTACCACAATATATCTAGAGCTGGATACAATACACTATCTTAAAATTTATATTAAAAGCCAAACGAAGAAAAAAGAAAATAACAAAACAAGCTCTCTCACTCTCTCTCGCTTCTTGCTGTTGTGCATACAAAAGCAGACGTGAAAAAACATTTATATAAATGATGAAAAAGAAAATGTTAAAAAGAATTTTATTCTGCACCTTGAATGATAAAAAAACAAAAATCATAAAAATAAAAAACTCCACATTTTATTTTTTCTAAAAATATACTTCAGTTTTATACACAGAGTATTTAGAAAAAATGTCTACATTTTTTTTGAGGATTTCTTGCTCATCATCTAGAATGGTATATTGTAGTAATCGACGAACGACTAGTGATAAAGAGGTCACTGCTAAGTCATGAGTCTAATCAAATAATGACAAAAAAGTAATGCAAACATTAACATTTATAGTTTTATATTACTGTGTAGACTCTACACTGTAGAGAATGTCAGATAGTGAAATGGTTAGAAAATATCCTAAAAGGCGCCACTTTTTTGCGTGACGATAAAATGACAGATCTGGACATACATCATCTCACTCGATCTATGCTTGGTGTATATTGATAATACTAAAATTTGTATAGAATCTTGTCACTGATGCCTACAGTTGATCTCATGATGGATAAAGATATACTATGAATCTTGAGTTTTAGCATTTAAACAAGATTCTTAGTTATCTTCCAATTGGCGCTTACTATCTTATGACAGATCTCTTATCAATATCATGTTTGGATTTTCTTTTATTCAAAGCCGGTTTAAATTCAATATTTTCATAAAATTTATCAGTACAAATTGTTATACAAAAATAAAACAAAAAATTTAGAAATTTTCACACATAACATTAATATACATAAAAATGTTTAACTTTACGATTTTTCATACGTCTTAAAAGATAATAAACTGTAGCTTAAATTCGTAAATACTAAGAAGACAATAACAGACTATTTCATAGTAAAAAAGCAACAATTCTTTCGAAGAAAAGATACTCTCATATGCATCACGAAAATTTTAGTTATTTTATTTGAAGAAAGTTTCTTACGGCATTATGGAACGCTTTAGTCGGGAAGTAAATCAGCCGCATTATCGTCGTCATCAAACGCAATAGGATTCATTTCTTTTTTGCTAATAGCTGTTCTAGGTCTTTCACTGGTTATATTATCGGGTAGTTGGTCAAATTGTGCCGATATTGGTTCTAAAGAATTCACCATTGAAAGGTAAACAAAAAATATAATCAAGATATTCTTAAACCCCACGACATATTTTTCGGTATTTAACGTGAGTCAGAACATGTTAAATTGAAAAATAAGACCGTGTACACTTACCAGATCTAACTTGGGCTTCAACGCTCCACCATATACCTAGCAGTGTTTAAATAGACTGTTGAACAAAAGTTTAAATGTTAACTATTATACAGCTCCCAAAACCCATTGAGAGAAAATTTTCAATCAAAATTTTTTATTCGAAAACTGAGTGTTAATGCTATTTGATCCAGTTTTGTCTGCTGATCTAGAATATGTTATTATTTTTGCTTGGAAATATAAGAGAAGCAAAAGGGGCGCAAAATAAGTGAAATGGCGAAGGTTAGAGGCGGGTGGGGATCGCTACTTTTGTGGAGTACTGTAATGACAAAAAAAGTAGAGTGAGACTATGTCAGTATATTTTGATCCTTCACCGTGATTTTGCTCCTTTTTTACTAAAATAGTGACTCTTATATCCCATCTTCCTATATATGTTAGATTAACATCTACTCATTCTCAATGGGTTTTGAGAACTGTATAATAGTTAACATTTAAACTTTTGTTCAACAATCTATTTAAACACTGCTAGATGTATGGTAGAGTGTTGAAGTCCAAGTTAGATCTGATAAGTCCACACGATCTTATTTTTCAATTTAACATGTTCTGACGTACGTTAAATATTGCTACTTTTGTGAAGCATTGTATACTGTGGCATGATTATGATATACAGAGGATTAATGTTTAAAAATGCTTCCTACGTGTGTAATTTGCTTGGGTCTACTTGTTAAATTTAAGCTTAAAACCTTTAAAATTCTGAAGGATTTATTTCGAAAAGCTAATAAATTCAGAATATATATGATTCGGTGTGTTGTATCTGATTATACTGCAAAAAGCACTGACTTTTAATATTTTAAACCTTTTTATTGTTATAAAATTTAAGGTACTGAAAATTCGAAAATTCAGATTAATCAATCAGATTAATTGATCGAGTTGTCTGTTATTGGTCGATTTTTGCACTTCACTAAAACCGCCATTAAACGAGCTTTAGAAGCATAAATCTTTTTTTTATTTTGCTTCACCGCTGAGAAAATTCATTTTTCCTCAATTAGGAGACAAAAAAAAAATCGGAATTTTGACTGTAATTCTCAATTGTCTCCATCAGAACTCAACTTTTATTCAATACAAATATCGTATTCGGAATCAGCGTTAAAACCTCTGTCAAATTATATACCTTTTTTTCCATATAGATCATTCGACTCAATTGCCGCGGCAGAGACAGTTGAGAATTACAGTCAAAATTCCGATTTTTTATCTCTTGATTTAGGAAAAATGAATTTTCTCAGTGGTGAAGTAAAATAAAAAAAAGAGATTTATGCTTCTAAAGCTCATTTAATTGCGGTTCTAGTGAAGTGCAAAAATCGGCTTCATCTCTTCACACAAACTAGATAGGTTTGCAAAATTGTTGATCAACTTTTTACAGGGGGAGTCCAAGACGTCCATACTGGATAGATTTGTGACTTCAACCTCGATCAAACATCAGATTCGTACTCAATTTTTAATGTTAAATCTGAACAAAATACTTTCAAAATGTTTGAAGAACGAAAAAGAAAAAAATCTGAGTTTTTTGAAACCTAAGTGTTTTTCTAAAATTTAGATCCTTCAAGTATTTTCAATTTTTTGACATGAAAATAATTTTTCAAATATTAAAACACATATTTTCTGAATCAGCTAGACGCGCTCTATCCAACCATGGATAAAAAATGCACAAATAAAAATTTGCTGAATTTTCGAATTATCGGCATTTTTACTTTAAAAATGCGACTCTGCTCGACTATGTTCTAAAAATTTAAAACTTTGGAATCTATGTGATGTCATATGCTGTACAAACTTACAAAGTATGAGCAAATTTTTTAGGAAGAAGACCCCCTTAAGGCGTTGTAGCTCGTTCGTCTGGCAAAAAATATCTTACAGATGGACATACCTCTTTGTGAAAATACGCCTTCAGTATTTTCTAAATCAATATTTCGAGTTTTTCCACTCAATTGTCGACCGTCTCTTGAGGGTCCACTATTGTTTTCAGGTCGAAGCGATTCAGCTGCAAGATAGGAATATGTTCAGGTAGTGCATAAAAATATTCAACATTTATTCTCACCATTTTTATCATCAGAAGATATTTTTCGACCTTTGACAATGTTTTGACTTTTTTCAGCACTTGTTTTCCTCTAGAACAACAAAATTCTTGGATAAATTGATTGGGAGTACAATCAATACCAAAATATTACTTGTAATTGAACTTCTTTCATTTTATTCACTTTTTTCAATTCATTCTGATATTGTTCCACTTCTGGTAAACCAAGATCCGCGGCGATTTTAATAAGAAATTGTATGCCTGAACGAAAATACAGTATCAAACAAATTATAAAAAAGATGTACAAATACTCACAGTCTGTATTATCAGGAAAATGACTATGAATCCATTTGTACTTTTCCAATGCTGCCGTATAGTCTCCGCTTCTTCTATGACAACTAGCAACCATCATATGCCATTTAATTTCTCCGGGTCTAAGTATAAGTTTAGATTAAGAAGAAATTGTCAATAAACTACAAATATATCTAACCTGACTAAAGCTGCTTGTTCACAAAACTCAACTAAAAATAGGCATTTTATTAAATATTGAATTTATCTATTTGGCAAAATCTTTGATTACATAGTGTAAAGAAGAATCACTCACCAGCTTTCTCTGGATATTGTGCTTCAATATAATATGAGGCTAGCCATTGAATGGTCTCTATATCGGTCGGATTATGTCTATAGGCCTAAAATCGTTCATTACATACATCGATTCATTGATTAATTGATATATCTTTTTAGATGATCATAATTACATCATAGAAGTATTGAAACGCATCTGATTTATCGCCTTGTTCATCAATCAATTCGCCTAATTTCCGCTGTAAGTGACCATCCATGCGGTATGCGCTTAACGCTTGTAAATACCTTTAAACAACAAAAGCTCTCATAGAAATCAGCTACCATAATTTCAAGTCATTAGCGGAATTTAGTGTTTTTTCATCAGCCAATAATACGAGCGTAAAATAGTAAACATTAGTATTATTTCAATTAGGCGTGAGTAGGCAGGCATACACTGGTTGCGGCTTAACATAGGAGGGCGATACGGAGGTGAGTGTAAGTAAAATTCTAGAACTCAGAATTCTCAAATTCTAAGAGATCTTGCGAAACAAAAATTATGCGATTTTGAAAATCCTTTTTTCCTAGCGCTCAAAAACAAATTGAAAGTGCAAAACGACCCTCAAACCATCTAATTATATAGCTAATGCTTTTTATTTGCCAGTCATAAAAAATTTATTGATTTCTTTTACTTATGACATGAACAATCATTTTTGTTCACAAAAATATATTGCTTCTGTGTATTTACGTAACAATTCTGAACGGGTGTCGATTTCCGACTTTTGACGATATTCTTTTTTGCCAGAGATTACAGATTCAGGTGAACGAAGATGACATGCATAGAAGACGCATGTTTTTCTTCTCTTTTATCCATTGATTAGATCTATCTCTAATATTCATGTAAACGATAAACGCACATTGGTGTGATCTCCCACATCGATGGTGATAAAAAATCCTCCATAATTCGCCTTTTGAAACGATTATGCATAATAATATACATTAAGTAATGATTATATATCTGTATCTTTTCAGTCTATTTCATTTTTCATAAATTTTAACAAAGACTTAATGTCATTATAAACAGCAGTTGACGTTTCAGATTTAAATGACGTAATAAAAATTTTGATATTAAAAAAACAGGTTTTTTGAAGTAGTTCATCCTGATCTTGTAAAGAAGGATACCAGCGAGATGCAAAAGCTTTTCCAGTAGCAGAGCTTAGCGATAACCCAGAAATCCATCAACTTGGTAGTGTTCCTACACTCATATCTTATATGCTATATGATAACAGAAAATAAACCATCAACATAGTCAAATGTACGAAGATATGAATCTAAAAGCTTTATTTGTGTGTATTCTAACGCACCAGCTCTTTGCATTGTCGATGTCATCGGACTGTTGTAAGGCTTTTGCCATTAAACAGAACACTTGTGCATTTGTTGGTTGTATTGTATGGTATTTGTGCAGTAAGTCTTTCACACGTTGATATTGATTTGATCTCATTAATGTTAAAACTAATAATAAAGTAAAGTATTAAGTGAATTGAACTTCTTAACAAAAAATAATAGATGATTTCTTACTAAGATTATGAAGTGCCTCTACACAGCCAGCGTCAATATTCAATGCTTCTTCGTAATAATAACGTGCTTTCTCCAAATCAGTTTGTGCAAAACAACAATTTCCTTTATTTGTTAATGCTAAAAAGCAAAGATATCACAATGTAGGGTTTCATATTCAACAGGAAAAAAAGTTTACAAGCTGGATTAAATTTATCCGTCTTCAATGCTAAATCGGCATATTTATGAGCATTTGGAAGATCTTTTTCCTAAATACAATGTTTAAATAAAATTAAATGATAAAAAAAATAGACAGTAATATACGTAACGTACGAGAAAATAGAGAAATGATAAATTGGTAGCAGCTGTAATAGAAAAAATTTTAATTAAAAAAAGTCTGCTCGATATTATAGATGAGATGACTAATTTTTGATTACCTGCACTAGCCAGTTTTGCCTCTGCTTTTTCAAATTCTTTTAATGTTGCTATTGCCTAAAATGAATTAAATACTATAGTTAGATGATAAGAAATGCCTGTTATTAATTTTAAATTCACTTTTTGAAAATTATTTTCACGTAAATAAGCGATGGCTTTTTGAATCTCAAGTCCACTTGCGAGTTCCAAATAGGTTGAATTTCGAACTTGTTCTATACACCTAAATGATAGACGAAAAATATGTATCATTTCAAATTCTTTGATAATATCTTCATTCTTACCATTCGTATCCAATTACAAAATCACCATCAACATTACTGCCAACAATTTTTGCAGCTGTAACAATGATGTGTTCAGCAAAACGTCGTCTAAAATATAAAACATGTTTTCTAATAATTCGATTGTTTCTTCGTGATTACTTAACCTCTTTCGTTCAAATGTTCTTAATCGATCATCGCGAATAGCTTCCATAACTAAATTTGCTTGTTTGTCCTCCTAAAATTTATGTGATGTGAAGTCAATTATCATACAAATATCAAACATACCAGTGGTGCTTGATAATTGTCATCATCCGCTGACATAAATGGAATTTTTAATAAATCTGTAAATGCTCGCTTTGTTTTTTCTCGTTGTCCCAAGGTATGATAACATAATAATAAATTGAATCCGCTACGATAATTTGGACGTTCTTGAACAATTGACTCGTAACATTGTGCCGCTTCGTTATATTGACCCATTTCAATATGAACAGCTGCGATATTCTCACGTACTTTAAATCTAAAATATTAAGTTATTGATTATATAGAAATAATTCTTTATTATCTCTTAAATTTCTAACTTGATATCGGTATTTTGTTCGGATATTTGGTCAAGTGCCATTCGATACATCTTTAACGCTTTTACGTGATGTTTTGTGTGCAGATATATATTGCCAATATTAATACGAAGTCGACTTGAAACGGGTAGTAACTTGTTTTTTAATATAATATTATATTGATTAAGTGCTTCCGTGTTCATTCCACACTTTGAATACATATTTGCACAATTCAAAACTACCTAATAGAGAAATCAAATATGTACAAAACTTGAAAAAAACTATCAAAATTCATCAACGTACAAAACCGGTTAAACTGATATCGGATTCACCCAAATTTTGTTCGTCTTTATATCTAGTTAAATTTTTTTCGCTTCTCATCGCCTCTTCAGCTTTTCGTAATGCCTATAAAGATGAAAACTCTTGTGAATTGAAGATCAATACAAACTAGAAAAATAAACTACCTCCTGGATATCACCTTTTTCGTATGCAATACAACTTTCTTCAACAAAATCAATAACTTTTTTTTCCATTTGTTTTGCTCGATCTTCGTTACTAAAATTATCCAATAATATTAATGTAACTTTTGCTTTCTATTATTAATGATACGTACGTTTCTTCTTTGTTTTGAAACTGTGTTGGAATTATTGTTCCTGTTGAACTAATACTAGATTCGATAGAACCGGTCTTAAAACCTACTCCTTGCACAGCTGTTGTTGGCCGCTGACCACCGAGTCGACTTGCACCCGTTTGCATTCTAGCAGCAGAACCGGGCGGTTGTTGTTGTTGCTGTTGTGCTAGCCTTGTCGATGCTGTTCCTAATCGTTGAGATGGTGCTGTGCCTTGCTTTGTACCCATTGAACTACCGGGTGATTGAACTGCACCGGTATTTTTTGTACGATTAAATATATTTTTCATTTTTGAAAATAATGAACCCTAAGAAATTAAGTTGATAAACATGAATTAAATATTAATAATACTAACAAACATTATATTACCTTTTGAGTCGATGCTGCTTGAGCGGTCTAAATAAGGATTAATATTAAAAAGAATAAATCGATGAGAATGAAAAATCAACGTACCGGCGGGGCTCTTCGACCATGGCTAGTTTTCAGTACCGCCTTTTGTAAATCTGTATCATATTTAAGACCCTTAAAGATGTAGCAAAAAAGTAACCAGAAGGTGAATAGTCAAAAACATCGCGTTTGCCATAGACATACATCTGTGTCTAATAATGGATTGAAATCATTATAACCAGCATATAAATCAGGTTTGGACGTCATTATTTCGTCAAAACATAAAGAGAGAGAAGAAACGTCAAAACAATTCCCATCACTATGATTAAATTTCTTTAAAGAAAAGAGAGTTTATAATAGATTAAATAACTAATAGATTAATAATGTTTTTGTTTGTACAGTACACATCAGTGGCGGATGCAGGTACACAACATGACTATACTGAACACACTGCGGATTCACTTTGGAGATATCCTCCACGAGTTAGTTTTAGCCTTTAGTCTAACGGCTAAAATTAATCTTCAGTATTTAGTTATTAGGTTATTGTGTTTTCTCGGGTACTGCTGCAGGTAGCTCTTGTATGGAGTATGTACACAGATAGAAAGAAGAGCTTTGATATTTCTTATTGGATGGAGTAGACTCTATTAGGCTTATTTAAGCGGAAGTAATATTTGAGCTGAGTAAAAGCTTTTGTAAGATTTTACAATTTACTGAATGAATATTGAATCAATATGAAGATTGAATATTTGCGGTTAGTTTTCCGGGTGCGAAACATAAGAGGATGCCCACTAGAAGAAAAAGTCTTTCAAGACCCGTCAGAATTAGTATAGTATAAGTATGAGTCAGAATAGTAGTAGTATGAATCAATTTTTTGTCGAGTTCTGCTAAGAAAAATTGAAAAAAAAAGTTTTAGAAGCGAGGCGGCAACAGCTTCCACCCACCTTAATCCGCCACTGATATACACTTGTAAAGTTGTTAAATATCTCATATACGATACAACCATTTTTCTTCATTTATCTAAGTTTGGAGGTATTTCGTTTCGTCTTCGTAGAGTAAACAAGAATTTCTTCACTCTGACATTGTACAGATTAAACGATAGTAGCAAGACGTTGATTACTGAATATTTCTTCTACTTAGTAGATAAAAATATTTTCAATAATTGAAATACTTTAAAGTGATATAAACCAATATTAAACACAAACATCGATAAAGCAAAGAACAAACTTAAAATAGTAAACATTAGTTACAGAAAAAATGCGTGGTACACAGTTACTTTATAAATCACATCTTGACACACTGATTCTTCGAATCTGAAACAATCTTTTTCTAAGCGTGAGGGACTGTCGAGAAAGAAACGTGTATAGCAAAACAAAAATCTTTCTGTCTGAGTCCTATTTTCAGACGGTCCTGACACCTCTAGCTATGGGACGAATCGAGCGAGCGCTCGTCGCTCGAGTGAAACAGACGAATTGCGCTCGTCACCCGAGCGACTGACTGCATCGCGCACGTAGCTCAAGCGTGCTCGGTATCCGACCGCTCGCATATCATTCCTAATTTAAATAAGTTCTCTACACTTTTGCACAAAAAATATGTAAACAATTGTTTACTTGCTGTATAAATAGCTATTCATTTATTCTGTAAACAAAACAATATATTGCAGTGCACGAGCGCTCGTGTAAAATGCACTTGAGCGACGAGCGCGCTTATTGTTTTTCCGCTCGAGCGACAAGCGCCCGATTCGTCCCATACCTAGACACCTCTGCTAATCACATTTTGTTATTATTATAAAAATAAAGAACGAGTAGAAACTATAGACAGATAAAGTATAGTGATTATAATAACAATGAAAAATAAAATTCAAATGACTATGATTCAGAAATAATCGATTGACTGCCTAATGATGATGGAACAATAATATCACGATGATCCCTTCTGTATCGGTCAACAATGCTAATTAACTGAAATTCAAAATAGAAATTTTTCGATTATTATTGAAAATTTAGAGGTAGAATTAACACGTACTTTGAGTAATCTGCGAATATTTTCTTTGCAAACGTTCTTTGAATGCTTTCACACCGTATAATGGAGCATTTCTAAATATCGCAACAGGTAATAAAAATCTAGACTTACTATAATGCTATACTTTAATAGTGTCACTTACCACTCCTTTTCACCGCCAAGTAAGTGAAGTAATGGCAAAATTTCTCTAATACTAAACTACTCAAAATCGGAAACTCTAGAAGATAAACAAAAATGATTTAACTTTTTATAATCTAAGATTGAATTTCACTATTTTACCATCGCCACGGCAGCACTTCCATCCAGACTTGATTCTTGTGATCTTTGTTTCTCGTGCTGTATTTCTATAAACCACCTCTAATTTTCTAGTGTCTTCTAATAAATTTTGATTTTCATCATAAAAAGTTAAAACCGTTTGTTGTTAATTCAGTCGAGCACTTTCAACAAGAGACATATTTTATTGATTTTTTTCGAAAATGCAAACGGTCGTCGATGTTTTTAGGTATTGCTCAATCATTTCTAAACAGAGTTTTTGCATTCATATGTAAATATATACTCCGTCATTTATGTTATATATACAAGTCTTGATTGTTCAACACATTTTTGCTTTCTTTTATCAATAGCAGCTGTTCCAGCGCGATTTTGTATATTTGCTATATAGAATTCTTTTTCTGATTCAATACTTAAACGGTGAACGTCATTTAACCGCAATAGTTCTGGTTTGAGAAACCTCGCTAGGGTTTCATACAGTTGTATAAGAAAGACAATCACTCCATGTAACGAATTAAAGACGCCAAAGATGTCTCACTTTGCACGGCGTAGTGTCATTGAAAACGGTGAAGAAAACGCTCTAGTCCAGCTGATATACAACTAAAAACTAAATCACAACGTTTCTCAATGATCGGTAACTTTACTAAAATAAATTCGGTGTGTTTTGGGTATGCAGTTGGTATTTGTTATTCTCTTCTTAATTAAATGATCTGAATTTTTGCTGACAATGGCTCCTTTTATTCTGCGTTAATGGAAACGATATAGATAATAAATTTCCTATTGTACTTCGAATCTGTCTTACGTAAAATAAAACGTGTGAGGTGGAGCAATCATTAAAACCATCTTTTACAAACTTCTAGAGTTTAAAAAGCTTGAAACGACACAAAAGGGAGTCAAGATATTTGATAGCATCAAAAATTGTCAAAAAAATCCAAAAAAACCTCGTTGACATCGACAATACATTATTTATTTAATTTATGAAAGAAATCATTTTTCAAAAGAATATAATAGGGCTATTTTGAATAACACAATTTCTTCAAAAAATATTTTGTCTGTCAGGTGCCTCATCATACATGAAATTTTAGTGGATGGAAATTCTCACGAAGAAGGTATCTAACATCATCTTTTCATTTAAATATTTTGATTACGAAGTAGAGATTAATCTAGCCGTTTTCTGTCATTACACGAATGCAAAGAGCATGTATCTTAGCAACCGTAGACTTTTTAACTACTATCGTCGAAAAAAAATCAATCAACTTAATCCTCAAGTAGCATTGTTCTGATCCCTTCACACTTATAAGAAATAAATAGTTTGTGTGTACGTGTTGAGAACGAGAGCACATTTTCGTTTGAAACGTGAATGAAATGTCTGTATATTGCCTCTGTCGTACAGGTTACTGTCTACTATAGAGGGCACTGGTTTTTTCAAATACCTCAGTAATAATTAAATAGCAAGGACCCAAAAAAGAAAAAATAGTGGAAAATTTGATCCTAGCTTGTCCTAAACCTTTTTTCAAATGGGTTTTGCCAACACTACAATAATGTGCTAAATAAGAGGCTATTTTTCACTACTCAGGTAAGAAATGTTTTTTCCAAACTTGATAGCTTTTGACTGACGGTTAGATGAATCACAAATTTGAGCACATATTTTCCGCAGAACGCAGGTAAAATAGCTGTGTCTAGGACAAAAGCAAGAAAAACTCTAACATTACTCCTCTTTTTGTGAACTAATGAAACATTTTCGTATTTCTTGTGAAAAGCTTCATCTCAAAAAAAAAACTATCATTATACTGCTCAACAAGTCTTGTTTAGTGTGCAAGACATCAATACTTGAGTCCAAGGACATGCAACAGCAAAAAGTAGACATTCCAGGCTGAACAAATACCTCACTCTAGAGCTTTTCTTGATGGGGTGAGACGCTGATTTCCACAACTTTTATTCGGTTTTCCCTTTTAGAATATAGTATAATCAACGTGAGTGATACCCTTCAGGCTTAGGATAAACTCGAAATGAATGCTAGTGTCCTAAAAATATAGAAGAAAAGGTTTGCGATTGTTCTTGAAGGAAACTATGTTTACACTGTCCTGAAATATCGTTTTCTCAGCTTTTGTGTAACTCCTCCACTTTCCCATTTGAAAAGGAGCTTTAGTTTTATACTCAAATCCTTAGTGGTTTTGATACTTTTTACCCTCTCCCACTCACTGCAGTGCGTCTTGAATTTCATTTCTGACACTACAGAATGTTCTCATATGATAGTACAGAATATCCAAAAATGACATTATATAATATAATTTGTCCCACGTTCTATAAAGTCTTAAAATTTGTTTACGAGAACAAACCACTATCTTTGCCATCGGAGGAGTTACACATTTTAGCTCCGACAGGGGCTACGCTGATAAGCTTTTATTATACAATTTAAAATAATAGAAAAGAAAAACAAACGATCTGTTGCGTACAATTAACAAGAAAGAGGAAAAGTGTAAAATGATAAAATCAAAAACTTCACACAGCAGTAATTCTTCCACCGGGTGTCTACAATAAAGAACGAAAAAAAAAATGTTTTTTAATTTATCATAAGTAAGAGAAAGATCAATTTGAGATTCACTGTTTTTTTGTAGTTATTCTAGTTGTTAGTGTTTAGTTAAGCATAAAAATAATCTACTCACAAGGAGTGTCCACTGTCATTTTATGTTTCTAAAAACAACACAATACCGGATTACAAAAATGTCATCATGTTTGAATCGACGTTTTCTGCTTTTTAAAACAAATACTACAATATCACTGTAAATAAACAAGAAAAATACTGTTAGAGTACTGCTTTACTAAAAACGGAATGCTGTTTTCTTAGCTAGGAAGCATTCACGAAGAAAAATGAGGATTGTCGCATAGATGAAAAAAAAAAGTTTATACAAAAAAATGTCGATTGTTTTAGAAAGAGAAAAGAATAATTTTAGATTAGCATTAGCAATAAAGCAGGAAAAAAATACAAAAATAAACAAAATTTCATCAGACATTCTGATGAACAAAAAACAAAAAAATCTGAGATAGTGAATATGAGACTTGAAAAAAAAAAAGAAGATAGAGCATAGAGAAAGAAGAATAGAGGTACAATATGAAAAGACAAATTTACAATGATTGAGATTAACAAGAAGAATAAGACAGTATTTTATTTAAGTACTCAGTCAGCAAATAATAGAGCTTTCTGTGAACATTGACTGTCAGAACTACTTTCATCTTCGTCTTTCATTGCTAAAAGAAAAAAAGAAGACAAAATTTTGATTAGAGAAGGTTCTTATGTAACTAGACAATCTTTACAGAAGAAAAACTGTATGCTTTCGTTTCACATAATTTCAAACAAGATTTGGTATATTAAAAAATTTAGCTACTTAGGAAATTGATAAGTTGAATTTAATTACTTTAATTATATTTACCTAAATAAGGTAATGATCCACCTATTTCGCTGAACTGGCATCTTTTTCGTTGTTTTAACATTTGTTTATATTCACTCCATCTTAATTTTTTACCATCGATAACACATGTTCGTTTTGGTCGTGGCCTGAAAAATAAAAGATTTATTTTATTTATATTAAAAAAAGATTAAAAATTTTCATATACCGATATCGATAGTCTGGATATTTTTCCATATGGACTTTACTTAATCGTGATTGTTCTTCATAATATGGCTGTTTTTCTTCATTTGTCATTGCTTTCCATCTGGCACCCAATATTTTACTTATACTGGAATTATGCATATCAGGACAAGCTTTCAAAATTTTTCGTCTTTCTTCACGTGCCCATACCATGAAAGCGTTCATTGGCCTCTTAATATGTTGATCATTGTCACTCACATGTCGATCACTACGACGAACACGATCAGCTAAATATGATAAAAAAATAAATAGAAAGTGTGATAGTCTGATAAGTGAATGAGAAAACAACAAAATGGATGATAATATCTTTAGTCAGATCATGTCATTTTTTTCCTTTATATTAAGATATCCGTTTTTGCTGCTCTTCTGATAGATCTAATTATTTAAACAATTTAACAAAAAAATTATGAATCATATTTTAAACTATTCAATAGAGCAAAATAATATAAGTTGAGTAATATTAATTATTATTTTTCAACTGTGTTTTGCTTTTGCATTTTCTATCATATTCCTTTTTAATGATAATAACAAACCTTGCTGGTTTGACTCTAATGATGTTAATGATCTACACTGTATTGATAGGTATACACATATATATATATTGATTAAGAAGTATTAGTCTACTTTTATCTCACACTTCAGATAATACAATAATGTAAAAGATATCAATAGTTGACAAGATGAAGGTTTTATTTATACATACACTGTCTCCTTTTTTTTTTAACCTCATCGTAATTTCTTGCATATACTATAATTTTTAATTGAAATAATAAAGTAATTTTTACATAATCTTAATTGATCATTATAGGATGTGCTTCAAAGATTATGTATAGACTTTTTTTGTGTATGCATACAGATACCTTATAGTGAGTATTTTAACTATTGTGAATCAAAAAAAGAAAAAAAAATGGTAAAAATGAATTTAATAACAAAATATAATCAATCAATAAAGAAAAGAAGCTTGTTTATTATACAGTTGAAGAGGAAAAGACAAAGCTATTAACCTTGTTTATCGCCGCAAGTACAAATATTTCATTTTTTCATTTATTACCTAAAAATTGTAACTGTGACAGTCTATGAACGTGACTATTAATCTTTCACGTTGTATTTATCGAATGAGTGGGTATAACATACCACCACGATGAAAACACTAAGATAGTGATTTCCGCTTTTATTGTGAATATTTCACAAGGACAGAAGATATAGTATAATGATATTTTTACGACTTAAAGTAGTATGAATCTATCAATTTCAGAATTATATTTATCATGCTAGAAGACTTTTGTCGGTTAACTTTATAAAATTGTATACTCCTTTTTTTTCTAGCGAGATAGTTAATAATTTTTTTGAAACGAAGAAACTTTATAACAGTTCAGAAAGGTGTGTGCACTCGTTTCTGAATTATAACTGCTATATGCCTACGTACTTATTAATCATCACGAAAATACTTTCTATCTTTTAGGAATACTATACTCTTAATACTGATTCACATCATACCTATTGATGGTTCATTTTCCATCGTTACATATTTTTCTTTTGAATCATAAATTTCATTGTTATGGTGAGGATGAGGTGAATGATGTTTGATATGTTGAACACCTGTGTTTAATGCAGCAGTTAAATTATTTGACGATTGATGTTGTGAAGATGATGGAGATATTGAATTTGTTCCTATTATAGTCGCAGAAGAATGTCCAGTATTCGATGATGATACTGAGTCTGGAACATTAAAATTGTACATACTTAAACCTAAAAGAAATTTTTTTTACAAGTTTAAGAAATAATATTGAGAAAACACAATCCTTATTACCTGCTAAAAATGCCGGATTTAATAATCGCATTGCTGAATGATTGCCCTTAATGTTATTATCATTGTTTTGTTTGAGATTCTAGAAAAGAAATAGGCGAATATAGTTAATTTATTGTTCATTCAGACTTAATATGTAACACTTACACAATCAGCTGATAGTTTGGACAAGCCTAAATATGAACTAAGATGTGGTGGTGGACTTTGTGCTGAAATAAACCAAAAGATGTCATTTTCGTATAAAGCACTTAGAAAACTGGTATATTATGTACCTGCGAAAGCAGCTAACAATGGATTATTATATAGAAATGGTGAAAACACATTGTTGTTACTGTTCGCAGTACTGGCGTTGTTAACTAATGGTGATGGAGAATTTGAATTACTGGTTTCACTGTTTGTTGAAGTTTGTCGATTATTAAGACGGTTTGATTTCATTGATTTTGGTTTTGTCAAATTTAGCGGATGGTCATCATTTGGTTGCTGTTGTTTATGATGACGAGTAGAGACAGATGCTAAAAATTAGTGATAATAAAATGTAAAAATTATATATGTAAAATAGGAGTGTTGTACAACTTGCCATTTGTTATAGTTTTATTGTCTACCGTATTTCTAACATGTTCGCGAAGTTTTTGTAAACTATCAATCAAGCAGTCAAGCGTTATCTTAACATCACTGTCCGCCTTTCCTTGAAGTAACGGACGTATTAAATTTAAAATAATTGTAGCATTCATCGAGGCTGTTGGAACTGATGTCGCTGCAGCAGAAGGTAATTGTAACTGAGTGATATGATTATTCGTATTATTGAATGAATCGTCATGACTATATAAACGTTTATTATTATATCTTGTACTAGATTTTCGTTTATTAATTTTATTCACTTTTCCATCTTTATCATTTAATAAGCAATCACTTTCTTCACTTTGACATTCAGTTATTGGCGATGTTGTGTCTGGAGTCATGGTTGTTGGTGTAGTAGGATTACATTCATCGTCATTAATTTCACCATGTTGTTCATTATTTGAATTGTTAGGAAAAAATTTCGATGTAGACGAATTTATTTGTACTAAATCATTTGGAATTGTGTAAGAATCTAAAGATACAAGTAAAAAATTACTATTATATTTTTCAAATAAAAGTCTCAACTTACGTGAACTAGTTTCTGCTTTAAGCTGTGAACTGATTAAACAAACATTATTTCCTGATGATGATAATAGTTGGGTGTAAAAATTTGTCTTATGTTGTTTAGGAGAATGAGAATGGTTAGCACCATTGTTAATTGAAATATCTTGTGTAGTAGGAGATGTGGGACATGAATCAGATGTATGATTAGCATTACCGTTGGATACAGTTGTTGGAGACGGGGAAAGCGAATACGATCGAGCTCTACCTGAACTAGATAAGACTCGTTGTTTTTTACTTTTTGGATAGAATACATCTTGTTGTTTGTCGGTTGATATTATTAATTCATTTTTAATATGATTATGATTATTACTTGATTCAAGAATATGTTCATTATCACCATTCACACCATTTATAATCAACTTTTTGGTAGGTGTCGACATTGGTTGACAATGACTATCAATTTTTCGTTTTATTGACATCGAGCTAAAAGTAGAAAAATGAGAGTTGTTAGTGCTATTTTAAAAAGAAAATTATATATTCCATTTGAAAAACGCTAAAAAAAGATTTAGGACGAAAATGATTTTGAAATATGGTTGCCAAATCCATAATGATTTCAAAACCATTTTATAAAACCCTTTTCTTTTTGAATTTTTCACAAAGTAAAAAAAAGTGTTTTGTAAATGACTGCTATACTCAGAGGCTTTTGTAAAATGGCTCTGAAACCAGTGTGGGTTTGGCAACTATATTTCAAAATCATTTTCATCCCGAATTTTTTTTCTCTTCCTTATTCTACTCTTTCCAATGATTGGAAACAACACATTTGAAAACTTAATATGACATTTTTACATGTGTATTAAAATGGACAACAAGAAACCAGACAAAGATGTAACATGATTGTATAAATTTAATCGATTGTGATTTGTCAACCTTTGATTTTCGTTGTATTATACACAGAGGTATACATTATTAAAGTGACAATAGAAAAAAACGAACTGCCTGATCAAATTAGGTTGTTATTATCACAATAGTGTACATTAGTAATAATAACAACAGAATTTTTCGCATATATACATCATTCAAACGAATCAAATGAAGATGCATGTATGTAGCTGATTTGCTGGTTTATCTACTAGGCGTTTTATAATAAAAATAAACGTTTTTTTATCACACCAAACAATGCATAGTCAATGGTTTGTACTTGATTTCTACATAATCTCTTGTCTCACTGCATCACAGGTAGACATGAACATAGTCGTGTCGAGGTTGACACATCATTCAACTTTTCGAAATACTAACTACGCTGTCATCTCTAAACTTTATATCATCATCGCACTCAATAAAACATTTGTTTTACAATACCGATGAACAAGTGTCATACATTCTCTTCTCATAATCTCACAGTCACTTTTCTCTAGTAACTTCATTTCACATGTACAAGTGTTACTACTTTAGTCAACATGTCTTTCCATTTTATCTCATGAGAAGAAAATGTCTGCCATAAACTGTTCGATGAAACAAATGCACTTTTCAAGATGTCATTAGGTGTGGATAATGGCGAAGAGAAAGAGAAGAGTTTCTCTTTTACTAAGAAAATTTGAGAGTTTTTTTGTTTTAAACAAAAATGAGGATGTCTCCGAACTAGTCGGATTGTATCCTACGGTAGTGATTGATTATATGTCACTTTAAACGTTGACACAAAAGATTTTTGAACAGAGTTTATGTCTACCTGAATGCTTATCTACCATCGAAATTTCAGAGTCTATTGCGTTGTACTCATAACTGAGAAACATCACTTGATTAAAAAAAAACGGATAATAAATCTATATCTATTACTCTTTCTCCACGCACATATACATTCACACCACAAGACTGACACGTAGAAATGAACATCTGTTGTTTCATAATTCTCTGTTTGTCTATATGATGTTCATTAAATGATTATTGTTTGACAAAAAAAAAAAAAAAAAGACGAAGAAAACGAGAAAATTCCTAGTAGATATGATATTTATAAAAAAAAAATAATCTCATAAATACAGAACAAAAAATGTTGATGTTTTTTACAAAAACGAAGAACAACGAGAACTAGTAAACGATTAAGACAGGCGTAAAAATAGAGTCCATGATGACTTTCAATTGAACTAAAAAAATACTGGCGACAAATGCCTTAAATAAGCATCTTATACATATTATTATTATTATTGGTAGTAGTGGTAGTAGTCATATTAGTATTCTATTGCTTTCTATACTGTAAGAGAAAACTATCAAATTTGATCAAGATTAAATCGTATTCAAATGTTTTATGTTTATCTTAAAACTAGACTCTTAGCAGAAGAGAAGAAAAGAACAAAAAAAAGTTTCTTTTTCATTTTTTCTTTCAATATATATATATTTCAAAATCGTTTACTGAAACCATATAAAAAAAAAATTGTTCATATTGACATCGATCTCTCATTTTATTTTACATGTATTATTTTTATTCCACTTTGATCAAGTGGTTTAAAAAATAATATGAACAAACAGAACAAAGAAAAAAAAAAACTACCAAGTTCATTGTTTAAAGATTTTTACTATTATTTTTTTGCACTTTTCGGTATTTTTTACTTAATATACACTGTTATTTTTATTTTTCAAACATCTCTCGAACAGATCATTATTTATTGGAAACGTTTGACACATTTACACCTGTAATATCAAAGCACACGTTCTATAGTTAATTGAGTAGAAAACTGAATAAGAGAGGGCAAAAAAAAAAAATCGAATCGTTTTCAACTCGAAGTAGTATGTCACAAATTTTTGCTACTAATTACAGGACAAAAAAAAAACTTGACGTTAGGATATTATTGTCACTTGTCTATTGCTTAAAATTTCTATCGTTACGTACGATACAATAAAAAAAAAAATAAGAACATTAGTATAGACTAACGCCAAATAGTAAAGTTTTAGTCTAATTATTAAAGATTAGGTATCACGTGTAGCATCAAAATGAGTACTAAAATATATTGAATTTTGAAAAAAAAATTATTCTATCGAAATCAAACATAAATGTATTTTTTGATAAATTGTGTATATTACACATAGGTAAGGATATTATACTTTTGTTCTTTGTTCTCTAATAATAACTGCAACTATTTTTTTCTTTTTTTTTTTTTTTCTTCTATTGACAAGAAAGCAACTTCTGTGTGTAGTGATAATCGTATATATCGAAGAATAAAGAAATATAGAAAATGTTTGAATATTTGGCATTATAATGAAAAATTTAGGTCTTGGATAATTCTAATATACATATACCTATTCTATTTTAATACTAAAAACTGTCAGTCAGTTTAACATTATGCAATATATCGCCATCTAATATGAGAAAAACAAAACAAAAAATCAATGTAACGTGATTTGTGTTTGATAATTAATGTGTGGTCATTTGTTGTTGAGTATTTTTCTTATGTTCTTGTGATATTATAACATTGAAAAGATAGATTTGATTGAATAAATATGATTGCAAGTTTTTAATAATTATCAAATGATTTGAGATTGAATCTTCTTTTCTTTTCTAATTCTTGTTTTCATTTTACAAAGAAAAAAAAACCATGGATAATGCATATTTAAAATAGATTTACCTTTTATAAATAGATTACATCTCAAACAGAATAAAATAAGAGTTTCTGTCATTTCTCATCATTGTATATGAACAAAACGAACTAAAAGATCCGTTTTTAAACATAATACATTTTACACTAGAAATCTAGACAGGTGGAAAAAATGAAACACTCACTTGGTCACACGATCAATAGTGCAATATAATGAGACTGATGGAACTATGTGAAAACATCGGACATTATATCATTTTCATCCTCGATTGATGATTATTAATCGTTTTATATTTTTTTTTCTATAAAGAGAGATACAACAGACTCATTTCCATTCTTATGACAAAAATTCGAGTATTTTGTTCGTCAGCTGTACGGAATTATTCATCGACCTCAAACTTTTTGAATGCTTACTAGAGACCTAAACGTGTTGTATGCAGAACTGGAAGAGAGAACTTAAAATTCATTCTATTGTCAAGTTGAAAGAAGAATACATGATTATAAAACATTGTACAAAAGTACTTATATTTATTCGATTGAAAAATCAACCTGGTCTTATTTAAAGAAGGTGAAGACGAAATCTGATCTAAACCTCAGATGAAGTTTCATTCGACTTGTAGATATCTACACTATACTCTATTAACACTAACTAATCTAATATTGATCATAGTGTGAAATCATAATGATTGAATTAAATTATCTATTATGAAATAAAGAGAAGACGTTATCGAACAAACACACATATTATCGAAGAAAAATTTAAATCACTTTCTCACTAGTCACATGAATGTTGATTACTTTTACGACTATCATTCGCTTGAGATTTTCAGACAAAAAAGATTGATTCTACTCTACTGCTACTACTACACAAGTCGATGAGATTTACTTTTTCTTAATTCTCAAAACTTCTGTTTAAATTGAATATGAATATATTAGAGAACGAGACGTTTAGTGCATACTATCGACAATGTTAACTTTTATACTTTTTTAACATTGATTTTTCTGCTACAGTTATCGGATGTGTTACTATCGTCTTGTCTTTCTATATATGCGTATATTTCGTTTTGTTGATGTTAAGACGATATCAATGACAGAAGGAACGTCAATCAAGTAAAACAAATCTATTTTACCGTATACATCTATATACTTTTATTTAATAAAAAAATCTTCACACTTACTAATATGCATCCGTTATTGAATTTTTTTTTTGTTGTGTTTTGTTTGTGATCAATCCTCTTCTCTTTTTTTATGCCGTTTTTCTACGATGTAAGATCGATTATGTACATTTACTATTATGTACAAGCATTTATTATTTACATACAGTTTTTAGAAAGAGAGAGGGAGAGAGAAACAGAGAAGAGAATGAAACCTCGTAAAATCGATAAAATCAACATGCACTGGTGTCGTAATTATTATTATTAGTATTAGTATTATTTTTCTGTACATAAAAGGGAGAGAGAAAAATATATTTTCTTCAACTAAAACAAACGACGATTTACCTTTCACATACATTTTAGGCCTTTAATATCGAAATCTATATATATATACGCATAATAATGGCAATTTACTCTCTAAAAGAAAATCTTTCGTCTTTGTTAAGTATATTTAATATATGTACGCGTTTCGATGGTAAATATAAATATTCAAGGAGATTTAATGGTGTGTGAAAGATATCTGTAATAGAAAAGAAAATGTTTCTACCTACTCACACCGATCATCAATAGGAGGTTCTCTGATCGAAATCCAAAGAGTGTAATATTTATTATTACTATCGATGGTATTATTCTACCAACTAAGGCTAAATATACAAAGATAGACAGATATTATAACAGCTACGTATGATTTTACAGCTACGAATTACTATTTTAATGATCTCAACAATTCTCCACCATTAAAAATTTTCCCTAGCGACCATTTTCTTATTTCATCTGTTGTTCAAAAATCTTTTGTGTCAACGTTTAAAGTGACATATAATCAATCACTACCGTAGGATACAATCCGACTAGTTCGGAGACATCCTCATTTTTGTTTAAAACAAAAAAACTCTCAAATTTTCTTAGTAAAAGAGAAACTCTTCTCTTTCTCTTCGCCATTATCCACACCTAATGACATCTTGAAAAGTGCATTTGTTTCATCGAACAGTTTATGGCAGACATTTTCTTCTCATGAGATAAAATGGAAAGACATGTTGACTAAAGTAGTAACACTTGTACATGTGAAATGAAGTTACTAGAGAAAAGTGACTGTGAGATTATGAGAAGAGAATGTATGACACTTGTTCATCGGTATTGTAAAACAAATGTTTTATTGAGTGCGATGATGATATAAAGTTTAGAGATGACAGCGTAGTTAGTATTTCGAAAAGTTGAATGTTGACTATGTTCATGTCTACCTGTGATGCAGTGAGACAAGAGATTATGTAGAAATCAAGTACAAACCATTGACTATGCATTGTTTGGTGTGATAAAAAACGTTTATTTTTTCAAACGACACGGTTTATTTTCAAAACAAAAATTTCTGCGTCATTGAGGGTAGGAATATGTCACTTTTTTAAATAATACAAAATCTCTCCGCTATGATTTTATGCTTTTATTATTAATTGATATTGTCACACTTTGCGTGTGTTCTATTGTTTTCAAACAATTCTTTTTTCTCTCTCTGTCTTTCAAGGCGCGAGGCAGCTGTGACAAGAAAAAATTTGATTGATGAAAACTTTATATATCATGGAAGTAACAAAAAACCGAAACAAATATTTATGCTTTCCTGTACATATTACAAAACAACTTGTGACAGGAAATAAAACATTAACTACCTTATGGATTATGATTGTCTAGGTTTTTCAATAAGAAAGAATCAGATGGTTGATATAACGCGTGAAAAACGTGATAACGAGACACTTTTGTTCTCTATTTTTTTAACTCCTAAAAATAGAGGTTGATGGATGACTCAAATCATCAATGGTCAAAATATAGAAAATTCTCTTTTTCTTTTACAAAATCTTTTAACTGAGATATTCAAATATTGTTTTATTGTCTAAAAAAATGCCGCAGACAAAAAACAGTTAGAAGTAAAACTGCAACTCAGAGAACAAAGTGTATTTTCTTTTGTATCAATCTAATTGTTTATTTAATGATGCATTCATTCGTTATTCATCACACCTGCTTAACTTAAAAAATTCATTTTCATTTAATTAACCCTTATCAAAAAAATAAAATAAAATTTCTCCGAAGGTTTAACACCGATAATAAATGATGACACACAATGATGAAATATTTTTATATCTAATTTTTTCGGCATACTGGGCAATCTTACGATTTCTTACACATAAAAGACAAGAACGTTTCTGCGTTAGAAAACCCGTTTATATGTTAGAGTCCTTCCGTTATCTGGCAAAGTTTTTCCTGCTTTTTTCCAATTTAATGTTTATTAAGATTTTTTGTAAATGTGATACATGTATGAGTTAGTGATCTATTTAGAATGAATGTCAGTCCTAATTTGCCGAAAATTTTTGGATGTCCATCATTCGCTCAGTTCCACATTATTCTCAAAAAGCTAAAAACTAATAAGACTTGACCTGTTAATCATAGTTTTACGCTTTGCTTATCTTGAGTCTTTTGTTTCGTACTAAACCGTTGAATAATATTTGAATATCTCAGTTAAAAGATTTTGTAAAAGAAAAAGAGGATTCTCTATATTTTGAGTATTGAAGATTCGAGTAATCAACCTCTTTTCCAGTAGGTAAAAAAAATAGAAAACAAAAGTGTTCCATTTTCACTGCAATATCCGTTAGTGTACAGCTATCATTTCACAATCTGAATCTTCAACCTCCAAGTTTGAATTCAGACTTGTACATAGTTCGACTATTTCTAGTCTAGTAGATAGACTATGAAATGAAAACTCTTATATACTATAAACTTCCTGAGTTCAAATCGAACAAAAACAATGATTTCGTCAAAACACGTTTTTACCATTATTTTGTCTTTCTCGTACTGTCTTCTCTACTTTCTGGAGAACAAACGAATCTTCTTACATTTGTCACACGGATTTAATTGCATTGGTTATAGGTACAAGAGGCAAAAAGACCTGTATTCATCTTTTTCGTTCGAAAGAAAAAAAGAACAGAAAAAGAGAAAAGAAAAATATGCATTGTTGTCAAATTGAAAGATTTGACGATTCGATTGTTCTAAATATTCGAATTTTAGATTAACAATGAACGAAAAAACGTTTGACATTAAGTATCACTTTAAATTTATAAATAGAATAAAGAAAACGATTTTCTTTATTTTAACAATCAATAAACAACCATACAAAACATGTTTCATCTATTTTATGTATGAGATAGTTTTCTGCTGTAATATATAGACGATAGAGAAGCTGATTTAGAATGATTAATCGAGAGAATACCGGATTTCCTATGAACAAATTTACTATGCTTGCGCAAATTAAACCTACAATACTTTAGCAATTCGAGTAGTGCTTTTGACTTTGTTCGATGATATCAACTATTTACCATACGAAGAGTAGAAGAAAATAGGCTCTCGTTTCACCGAAAATTCACGTACGTCATACCGCCCTTGAAATTCTTTAAGCGTATAGTTTACTTTAGGCGAGAATTCACCGAAAATAGAAAAATTAGAATTGTCAATATTAATTTTGCTTATAGCTTATTTAATTATTATAAATATATATGGTATCATCTAGCGTTAAAATATGAATTAAACTGACCGATTGTCGTGATATTTATTATCTATTTGTAGACAACATCATTTTGGAATTTAGATTCTACGCATAATCAAAAAGCTCAAAGAGAGACTACATTTATCAAATGTCAACCATTATTAAAAAACTTAAAATAAAACAAAAAAAAAAATTAATAAACTTACTGTTTTACTAGATGATTATATTGTCCTTAAATATAAACTGGCTAATAATGTCTTTCTAACCTTGAAATATTTTGCTTCACCACAATGTCTTTTATTTTTAATCGCTAGCAGCAGTAATCATCGTTCTCTCTTTTCTCTGTCACAGCACAACAAAATAAAAAAGAAGAGAATCTTTTTTTACTTTGTAATGAAAGGAGTGATGACTATTGTTTCTTGAAAATGAGTATGTATAATGTTGTAGTTCGGGTTTATTATTTCGTTTTTTTTTTGTTGTCTTGTATTATGTGCATATTGTCTCCTTTAATATATTATTTTGGATGTACAGGTATTCTATGTCGGGTTCGTAATAAAATATTGTTGTTATTATTTTTCGTGTGTGTGTGTTTTTCTTTTCTATTTGTCTCTTTATTTTTCCTTTATTAATATTCTATTGTATATTGTACAATAAGAAAAGGGGAGAAGAAGGAAAAAAAATTCATCCATTTCTTTGTTCATAGTTCTGTGTATATATTTATGTTTTCACGCGTGAGTAAACATCTATATAGAATATGAAATGATGGTATACAGTAGTGGGTGAGTAAGTGATGAAAATCTATATTCATACTTTATTTGTGAAACTTTTTGACGAATACTTTTAGTATATAACAAATATCAGTTCAAGGCAAGAAATTAGTCGTTTTTTTTAGACTTTTTTAACTTAATACTCTCAGGTCTACTTGATCACGTGACTTTCATCGCGTATATTCGAACTTACAATTTAAGAATGACAATATAGTCTTAAGGTACATCGCTCACATCTCCGTTGCCATTGTGTTATTTGTCTATTTCTAAGGAATGGAAGGAAAAAATAAACCATACACGAATCCTTGACAAAATATAGAAAATTCCTAGTTCAGAACAAACACTAATGAATCACTATGATTGATACTACCATAAGTAGTTTAAACTTATCATCATCTGTTCCAGCAATGTTCTTTGTTTGAATAAAACTAAGATTTAGATAAAAGATAAAAGTCGAATATTTTTACAAACAATGGTCGCTACGATTCATACGTTTAGATCCTCAAGGTCTACGCTGACAAGTTGTTTTAAACAATAATAATAACGAAAAGTGCAATACAATAACCCTGCATCAACAAAAAACAAAATAGATAAGACGTAACCCAACGTTCGTTACTAATATTACTGACGATGGTGGTATTTGTCATCAACAATAAAAACAGAACTAATTGGATTTAATATATAAACAAAAGATATTAAACACTTTTTGATTATTATTAAAGACTTCGTTTCCATCTAATGTTAGCTAAAATTTTAGAAGTTTTTTCTAGATAAATTCGCATATAAATCAACACCAAATTTCTTCCCTTTTTCTTTATAAGTAGTTGATTGTAAATGTTTCATAACTCTGATTTTGTGACCACAATACAAGAATGTGTAAATTTCATAACTCAATTGTTACGTGTAATATCCGACTATTCTTAAATGAGACTTCTCATATAATATGATATGTTTTAAATTAATATCATTTTTTCACTGAACAACGCCTATTAATTTTACTTTTATAACCAAATGAAGATAGTTACGCTACTCTATTTCGAAAGTGATCAGGGACAGAAGTTAAAAAGA